CTTAAGAAGAATATAACAATTCGTTTTTCTACCAAAAAAATTAAAAAGTGAGCTAGTGTGTATTTATATTTAGGATAATACAACCAATAATAATAATAATAATAATAATAATAACACATAGCTTAATTGTCATTTGTACATTATACTTCGAATAAAAAATAACTGTTAAACTAACGAAAGAGACGATTTAGTATACAAATGACATATCAAGAAGTATGCATATAAATGATAATTTCGCTAAAAAATAAATAAAATACTACCTAAGAACTTCAACCCCACGTGTCACTTCGTCGCACTCGCGGTGCCTCCAGGACACTAAATGGTGTAACGGGATTCGAACCTAAGACCTCACACAACTCAAACCCGAAAGACCACACTTCCAACCAACTTGAGGGTTTTATCTTTGGTGCTAAAAAAATAATATTTTTAGTGGTATATATACCAAAGTAAGGGATTGTTTGACAAACACATAAATGTTTATGTGTTTTGTATTCTATCAATCAATCCCCCATAAGTGCGTGGCGGACATTATTAAGAACATAAAATCAAGCACGATAGAGTGCAAATTGATCGATAAAATGAAAAAACTCGAGCTAAAACGCTTAAATGAATTACGAAAAGTATGTATGAATTGTGAGATCGTATGGATTGTGAGATATCAAATTCCTCAAAAGTCAAAACCAAGTTCAATCAAAATACTTTTCCACGGAAAAATTATTTGGGTGTGCCTACGGTGACATGCATGTCACGGTGACTTGCACTTTCCGGTCGACCTCAGTTAGGATTAGGTCGACCTCATTTAGAATTCGGTCGACCTCATATAGGATCTGGTCGACCTCATATAGGATCAGGTCGACCTAATCTGTTGTTTCAGTGTAAAAACAGTTCATGGTGCCTACTTTGGATATTCATATCATACAATTGGCTAGATGGAAATTGAAGACTAATGACTTGTTTTGAAGCTGGAGTGTCCCTCTACATATTGAAGTGATTGAGAGCTCAATAGGAAGTCCAGAAGACCATTTTTGAACCTCATCAAAAGGCTATACCAAAACTGAGAAACTGCCTGAAAATGGCTAAGTTTGGAAACGTGTTTGTGAAGTCTATTTTGGAGCTCAATTCGAGAAGCATGAATGCGAGTCGAGTCCAGGAGCCTCTACCACGTTAAATTAGGTATGTTTTTATGCAAATTCAAGGCATTGGATGAAAGATTGGATATCTGTAAGGCTTCAAACAAAAGGGTCGAAGTTGCTACGAAGGCTGTTTTTCTGGCAGACTTCGAGCACAAGCAAGCTGCCAGAAAAAACCTTCGTAGCAACTTCGAGCCTTTTGTTTGAAGCCTTAAAGATATTCAATCTTTCATCCAATGCCTTGCCTTTGTATAAAAAAAACTTAATTTAACGTGGTAGAGGCCCCTGGACTTGACTCGCATCCATACTTCTCAAATTGAGCTCCAAAGTAGGCTTGACAAACACGTTGCCAGACTTAGCCATTTTCAGGTAGTTTCCCAGTTTTGGCATAGCCTTTTGGTCAGGTTCAAAAATGGTCTTCTGGACTTTCTATTGAGCTCCCAAGTACTTTAATGTGTAGAAGGACACTTCAGCTTCAAAACAAGCCTTTAATCTCCAATTTCCATCTAGCCAATTGTAAGATATGAATCTCCAAAGTAGATATCATGAAACTGCTTTTACACTGAAACAACAGATTAGGTCGACCTAATCCTATATGAGGTCGACCGAAAAGTGCATGTCACCGTAACATACATGTCACCGTAGCAAAGTCCAAATTATTTTGTTAACTCATAGAGAACATTATAAAAACACGAATCACAAATGAAAATCGACTCGAGACACAAGCAAGAACATAATGAATACCCGAGGCTACCAGAAATGACATTTGAGTAAGTTTTCGCTATAAACTTCATTTCAACCAACGCTTTCACATGTCGAAAAGGGAAATGACTCTTTAAGTCTTGACAATGTCGAAATTATTATCCCTCTAAGTAAATTAAAATAATTTACGAAAAGGAAAACCTTTCCTGGACTATAGGATTCCTAATTAGTAAGCTTGGTGCAGTAAACCCAATAAGCAATCAGACAAGCATGTCCTGTAATGTTAATACGAAAAACCATGCGAGCAAGTCTGTTCAAGATCAAGGGATTCACCAGCTGAGACTCTCAAGCTTTTACCATAAACGGGAAATTCTCCAATTGCTGCTTGCTACAAAACTTACACACAGTACCAACAAAGTTCCACAGCTAATTTCTTCAGACCACAGCTTCTCCTTTGGTACATATGAAGCTTTGTTGTTTTTAATTCTTCGACCAGCCTAGAGGGTGCCAAGATGACCAAAACAAACCAAACAAACATTCCCCATTCTTTCCTTTCAATCTTTGGCCCCTATGAAACACTCAGTTTTCTTCTAGGTGCTTCACTACCAGTTTTGATCCAGTTACTTTTTCAGGCCTATCTATCAGCTTCATCGTGATCGTCTTCGCGCTCTTCATTTTCCTCTAGTACACCTCCTTCACCCGGACCTTTGTTCGTTGCTAGATACTCCAGAGCAGTCACCACATCACTCATCAACGGCCTGGTTGAGTCTTCCTCCTGGAGACACATTGCTGCTACAGCAAGTGCTTGGTGAAGACCCTTTTGGTGGTACTTCCCTTCCAGCAATGGGTCTGCCAGTAAATCAAATTTCTTCCTGTCTTTCAGCAATGGCGATGCCTGCAGAAAAGAAGAAGAAGGTTGAGGCTTAGTTTTTAAGGGAAAGATAGTGTTAGGAGAAAATGTTGTTTCTTTTGAGGGAACACGAGACACACTGATAGAAGAGACATTAAAAGTTCTGGAAACCTATGCATACCCAAGTCACAAGGTTCTGCTCTTCAGTGGGTCTTGAATTGTCAATGACCCTCCTCCCTGTGATGATCTCCAAGAACACAACTCCAAAGCTGTAAACATCAGATTTGGATGTGAGTTGTCCTGTCAATGCATATTCAGGGGCACAATAGCCATAAGTCCCCATCACCCTGGTGGAGACGTGAGTCTTGTCCCCGGTTGGACCGAGCTTGGCGAGGCCGAAGTCTGACAGCTTTGGGTTGAACTCAGCATCTAACAATATGTTTGATGCTTTGAAATCACGGTATATCACTGGAGGATCTGCTGTTTCATGCAAGTATTCTAGCCCTTTTGCTGCACCAGCTGCAATTTTCATCCTGGTATTCCAATCCAAAGGAGCTTTTCCCTCAGGCAAATCTGTAAAATGGTAAGCATGTCTAAGTGCTTTTATTCATCTGAAGGTACACAGACAAGAGCATATTGTTTTTATCTCTGGTTAGCTATTTCAAGTAAGTATACCAAGAAGGTGATCTTCCAGGGAGCCATTGGCCAAGTACTCATAGACCAGGATTCTTTGGTCACCATCAGCACAATATCCAATTAAGTTCACAAGGTTAGAGTGGTGAAGAAGGCTCAACATTAAAACCTCCACCAGGAATTCCCTGTTCCCTTGAAACCCATTTCTGTCAAGTTGCTTAACCGCAACAACCTGAACAAATGGAACATGAAACATTTATCAGAAACAATAATATTTTTCTGCTTAGAGAAGTGGTGGCCATAGAAAGCCTCCTGAAACAAAGGATGATGGTGGAAGTACTACTACCTTATCTTCAAGTTGGCCCTTGTACACCCTCCCAAAACCTCCTTCCCCGATCATATTTTCAAGGTTGAAGTTTTGAGTTGCTACCGTCAATTCCCGGAATGCGAATATCTTTGCAGATATATGTCCTTTTCCAACTTTCTTTATTTCTTCTGTTATGTACCTTTTCCTGCTGCTATCTGAGAAGTGAAAACTACAGGTAAATGCTAAATTCATACAAACATGATAAATCAGGTCAAGAAACACTCCTGCTTATCATGGAAGGTTCAGGTTTGCCAGCATTTTTTGGTGATTCCACCAAAAAAAAAAAGAGAAGCAGAATTTCAATTTTCATTATGTTAAAACTCATAAAACCAGGAATCTTGAAGAGAACAAGAGTCTCAAGGAGCCTGCATTTGAAGAAGAAACCAAAATTTGTAGAATTTGGGAAGACAATCCTATAATTTTTCTGTCTGGCTGCCTTCTGAAACACAACGGTATGTCCAAAGCGAATGCATGAAGGAAGAACCAGAGCCATCTTCATCAAATCATCCTGAGTTTCATGAAAACCTGTCCTGAGAAAAGAGAATATAGAAAGGACATGAAAGCATACCACTTTTGAAGGAGAGGTTGGCAAATGATGCTAAAGTTTTCGTGTCCTTGTAATTCTTAATACTCCTCTTCAATGACTTTCTGCTTAGTTTCTCCCCTGAACAACATGAAAAGCAACTCATCTTGACAACCTTTTTGGCTCTGATCTTCAGCATCCCAAGATAAAGTTACGAGGCTGAATGTGCTGCTGCGCAGATATATAAATTTGTGAATGTCAAAGAAGGGTGTCCCTGTGGTCACCCTGGGAACCCTGGATCAGAAGCATGAGGCGTTGGCCGCCTGCAGGCATTCAGAAACTGGAGATTTGGCAAAAAGAAATGCCAGTTCCCGAAAAGATATGCGAAAAAGGGCGGGGAAGATGATCTGCTAAGCTAGTGCTGATCACCTTGGCCCCTTTGGAGAAACCAAAAACTTTTTGCTACCGGTTTCTCAGAAAAACACAATTAACTCTTCCCTGTATCATATTTCATTATCCTGTAGAAAAAACATAGACCAAAGGGAAGAAAAAGAAGAAGGCGAGAAATGACTTGGTCAATTTGCCAATTATAGCAAAACAGACAGTCGTCACCTTTTTATCGTTTTCATAATTTTCGCTAAATTTTTTCTCAGCCTACCAGAAAAACAAAAAAGTGTCTCATTATCTATGCTGTTTTTGAGGGTTGGTTAAACTTAACAGACAGAGATGGTGGCTAATGAAGCATGTTGTTGGGTTTTTTCTTCTTCCTCTTACCTGGCGCAATCACCAGAATCCTGAAGCCATAACCATCTGATAAATCCAATTTTTTGTCATGTTTCCTGGCTGTCGCTGTTCCACAGGGATGATCTCCCCTCGGATGAGTTTTCTGGTTTGTTCTTGTCTTGTTTTAATCTACAGCCATTCCCCACCGTCGAACTTGTCATAGTCCTGCGAGTGATAGTTGTCAGTGATGATATTTATATCAGCTATTTCTGGAAGCAGAAATACATCGGCATTGCCGCAAACCTGTGATCTTCCAAGAGCATATTCGTTCTTCATCTGTTAGCCTGGACTACATTCATTCATTTCTGAAGAATGCCGGCAGGCACTACTAATTTGAAGAAAACCCATCCAAAGGTGGAATCATGAAGCCTGATGAACATACTAAGAAAACCCCACAATCTTACATAAGATAGAACTTAACCTTATCATCATTATTCATACTAGAGATTGGAACATGGTAAATTGGTCATGTAACCAGAACTTAGACAATCTGGAGTAGCTAACATGAACTTGCAGCTGCCCTCATAAGCAAAAAAAAAAAAAAAAAAAAAAAAACCTCAGCCACTATCATGTGTGTAATCATAGCAGAAACTAAATCAGTAATTCAAAGATGTAGATTCTGGGAAGCAACATGATTGAACTTTTCCAATTGCAAGTATGAATACCAATCAAAGTAGAGCATCAGAGCATGCGGAAAGGATAAATAGATAAGATCCAAGGAGAGGAAAAGCTAACAACACATCTCATGTAATTGAAGCAATATTCAGTTCCAACTATGTTTGTGCAAAAACAAGAAGACCTAACGAGATAATGAGTTCTCATCTGATGAAGTAACAGATCATCAAGTATCCTGCAAGGGGAACCAAAAAGCTAGAAAGCAAGCAGGCATTCACATATACTCCACAAACTACAGTACTAGTGTACTACTATTAATTCTCTAATCTCTTTCAACCTTGATGATGCATTGTGTTGCTTTAAATTCAGCAAGAGCTCTCTCAAGTGCTGCAAGTTGGTCAAGTACTGCTAGTTCTGGTATGCTCCTCAATTTATCCCCACAGGTATCTCCTCCAATCTTCTCCACGCACCTCAAATGATCAGCTGGAATCACAGGCTTGGTTTCCATTGAATCTTCAGAAGAACTTGCTCTTGCTGCAGAAGCAGCCATAGCAGTAGCATGTTTTACTGGTGTAGCCAGAAACTCCTCTTGATGTAAAATAAGGCTTTCTTTTGCAGGTGAAACACCAAGTGGATGATTCTCGCAATCATCACAATCAGTTTCTGCTTTCACTTCCACAATTCTACGGAGGACTATCTGGCTTTCTTTTGCAGATGATAGACCAAGAATATCATCAACGGCAACTTTTTCAACCTTAACTTCTCTTGACACGGTAAGTAGACCAGAAGGAACAACTACATCTTCTGCTACCTGTGGAGTATCATTAGCCTCCAGATCCCCTGATGAATACAAATGAGCAAGCTTTCTTCTCTTACTTGGAGTTCTTCTTCGTCGTGTAAGACCATTTGCATTTGGCATGTCCTTAAACAAGCCTTCTGATGACAACATCGGCTCTCTCCACCAGCTCAAGTACCCAACAGTAACATCAGGCTCAAATAACCGAGGTGGAATGTAAATCTTAGCATTACCAAATGGCATAGTATAATTTAGCCAAACCATTTCAAGGCATTCATTCGATGGATCGACCGATAGAGGAATGTCTTGATCCATCCCAAACTGCATAGCAACACGATGCGGCAAATACAGCTCCACACAACCTTGACCCACCAGCTCAGATACCCTCAGGCATAAAGAATAAGGCAGAAAGCTCTCATTAGATTCCATGTCCAGCCATTCTCCATTTCCCCTGTAGAAATCAGGAAACTGCCAACCATTCAGTGAAATAGCATAGGGACGCCAGCTGAAAGTATCCCCTGCTGAGTCCAAAGCCAGCCTTAAATCCCTAACTCTCCTGGTTCTCAAATTGTTCCACATTAATGACCTGGGTTCACCATTTTCGATGGGATTGGGTGTTGGACGGAGCTTAGGAAATCTCTCCCAAGCCCACAGCTGGACCAAATGGAGTGATGACCAAAGGTTGACTGCCATTACATCACCATCAGGTTCAGACGTCTCCATCTTTGAAGCGGATACTATCGTTGCTTTCAACAAGCTCATATCTCTATAAATGTTTGCCAGAACTGCTGGAGCAAGCCCCACAGGTTTGGCTCTGGCTAAATGAACAGCAATAGGGACAACTGAAGCTTTATTAGACCCCTCGGAATCACTGAGAACGAACCTCTCCAGCCATAGCGAGAGAAAAGCTTCGTGCTCGATTTCGATCCCGCTGCACATAAACACTCTCACCCACTCGTTCTGAAATTCCTCATCGGTAGAGCTCCTCCTCTGTATTCGACCTGCAACTTCCACCAATTTCTCTTCAATCTGCTTCAATCCCCGACCCTCTTCACATGAACAGGCGAAAAATGGGTGACCCGAAACAGGGAGACCACCCAGAACCATTACATCCTCAAGCGTCACCGTGGCTTCGCCCCATGGAAACACGAACGTGTTGGTCTCGGGGCACCAATTTTCAGCCATTGCCATGATCAAGCCGTCGTCCTTGCGGAAGCTGCAAGTAGAACCCATGATTGCTTCGTAGATGCCGGCTCGTCTCCACACGGATTGGTAAGTCGGGGACAAGTGATCGACCCATGATTTCCACTTAGGGTTCGGATTTTGCCAACCCATGAAGCTGACCTGCAGCGGCCACTTCTTGCCGCGGCAGAACAGTGGCGGAGATGAAGGGAAGAACAATGGGTGCTTGAGAAGAACCTGCCCTTCAATCGAGGAGGTGGAGAGATTTCTGGGTTTGAGGAAATGGCCCGGTCTTGAAGTTGGAATGGAGTTGCCAACAGGCGACACCATTACAGCTTCTCTGCTCTCAACAATGGCGTCCTCCTCCTGGGGTGAAATTTCATCATCCATTACTGTAAGAAGACCGTCGTTCAAGCAAAAGGTTCTTCGCTCGTTTTCACAAAAGCGGAGGATCTGTTTCGCTGCTCCCGGGATGAAAGAAACAAACACACAGAAGGGTGATTTCACGGGAAGAAGAAAGAGAATGAGTTTCCCTTTGAGCAAAGAGCAGAGTTGGAGGTTTTCTGTTTCGGGGTACGGTCCGTACAGCCATGCTGAAGGTGCAGGTTTTCCGATTCTGGATGGCTCCTGCTTTGGGCAAAAACCGTACTTTTTTCCCGGAATCAGGTCCTCACCGCGTCACACAAAAGTTAAAACACCTCAAAATGTAGAATTTAAATGAAATGCCATTTTTCTTCTTTGTTTTTAACATAAAAATCCAATAATATAGTTGGTGTAAACTACAAGATTGATCCCTGGATTTATTAAAAATGTTCATATTTGGTCACTATAAATATTTAATTCTATTTATGATCACTATGATTAGTTGAATGGTTCATGTTTGGTCACTCTCGGTCTTTGTTAGTTTCCGTTAATTTTTACTTATGTGGCAATCAACCTTCATAGTTGACCATTAAATAAGTGACGTGACCATTAAAAAATTAATAAAAAATTAAATTTAAAGGTTTACAATTTCCACCTCATTTTTCATTACTATTAAAAACAAAATAAAATTCAATTCAATTTTAATAATCACCCAAACAACCAACCTAACCGTCCTCCTCCGCCGCCTCTGTGTCGTTCTAATTTCCCTACCGCTGCTAACGCCGTCACTACAACAAAAATAGAACGCCCGCCGCCACCGCAGCAGAAGCCGTGACAATGAAATTGAAGAAGCTATTAATGGATGAACTAGTGGATGGAACAAATGAGCCTGGAGGAAGCGCAAGGAGAAGAGATGGAGGCGGGGTCGACTTCTTGAAGGATTTCTTCCTCCTTTCCCCCAACTGAGTTTAGTCGACCGGGGAGTTCCAGTTGGGGAGTTGGTGAATAAAAAGGGGAGAAGAGAACAGAAGGAGACGGCCAATTAGAAGAAATTATTTTTTTAATTTATTTTTTAATGAATGTGTAGTGAGGTGGAATTTATTATAGATTAAATTTTATTTTTTTATTAATTTTTTAATAGGCACGTCACTCATTTAACGGTCAACTATAAAGGTTGACTGTCAGTCTGCCACATCGGTAAAAGTTAACGGAGAGTGACCATACATGAACTATTGAGCTAATTTTAGTGATCACGAATGAAATTAAATATTTGTACTGAGTAGTGACCAAACATGAACGTGTTTAATAAACCCAATGACAATTCTTGCAATTTACCCAATATAGTTGGAACAAAAGAACCTAACAATCCAAGCATCCATCCATTATGATTCAATCTCGTGATGTGGCGCATGCGACAGGTGGAGCGATCTCGAAAGAGATTTGTTTGGCGTTTGTGTCTTTTAATTTCTTTATTTGTACTTTTACGCAGAGGTTGTACAATAGGGCTGCCCACTTAGTGGCTTCTAATGCCCTTTCATCGACAGTTCGATATTGTGTCGACTGTCGCGTCTGGTTTTCTAGCGTCTTGTAATATCTATTTCATTCCCGATCTATAACAAAAAAAAAAAAACCTAACAATCCCACTTAAAATATGAGATTTGACTATAATTCATTTTGATGGATAATTTCTCACTTTATGTCATATCAAGAAAACAATGTATATATTGTTTGTGTATAAAATTTTGAAAAAATGATGCATAACAAATGCACCATAGCGAAATTGGCTTTAGGGTACAATCAGTGTACAATCAACAAAAAATCTACGTTAGGGTTTTCGCTCCGTAATTCTAGGAGGCGATTTTTCCCTTTGGACTGGCACTAGGGTTGTCGGCGCTATGTCGGCGGACGTTGTGCCGCCGGCCGGGGGGAAGTTCCATGCCACTACGCAACCAGAGATGATCGCAGGTCAAAGGAGACCGCCTACAGAGACGTCGTCCCCGAACCCTAAAGGGGACAGGGAGGCGCAACAGACGAAGAAGAGAGCGAAGCAGACGGAACCGCCGGTGACGGCTGTGCCGGTGCATGAAGGTCGGAAATTTCCAACTGGAGCTGGTGCGACGCCGCCATCAAGCCCTCGGCCAAACGCTTGGTCAAATGGAACAGGAGCAGCGCGCAGGTTGTTCGGGGGGGACGTACGCATGGACGAGTGGTATGCCGCGGATTCTGATAGTGAAGACTCTGCCATGGCAATGCGCGAAGATGGTCTGGAGGAGGGTTTCGATGGAGACGATGACCCTACCTGTCCCCAGATATATTTCACCGCAGCGGAGGAAAGAGAGTACTGCCGCAAGCTGAGATCAGCCCTGATCGTGAAGCCGCTGGGCAGGATAGTGTCGTACACAGCAGTGTCCATCCGTTTGAATACATTATGGGCGAAGGCAGGAGGGATCCAAGTAACTTCGATGAAGAACGGATACTTCCTTGTAAGGTTTACGAGCGGCATGGATTACGAGAGAGCAGTCACTAACGGACCGTGGATGATAGGGCCGAACTACCTCTCGGTGCACATGTGGGACAAGAATTTTGATCCGTACAGTCATGAGGTCTCATCGACGTTGGTTTGGGCACGGCTCCTTGATCTCCCGCTCCACTACTTTCACCAGGAGGCCGTGATGAAAATTGGGCATCGTATTGGGAAACCAATCCGGATCGACGAAGCTACGCGCACAGCGGCCAGAAGTGACTACGCCCGTGTCTGTGTTCAAGTGGACCTAACCCGGCCCCTTCTCTCGAAATTCTCTATCAAGGGCAAGAAATACTTCATTCAGTACGAAGGACTGGAGAATATATGTCTAAACTGCGGTACCTATGCAGAGAAATGGGGATGCTCGTGTGTTAAGTCGCAGGCACCTATGGAAGAAGAGCAAGCAACACCTGTACCACCGCAAACGACCAGTCTGAACGAACCGCTTTATGGGGAGTGGATGATTGCCAAACGTAAGCCCCGGTCCCAAAAGAAGGACCAAAGAGCAGAGGCAAACCTGAAGGGAACAAAAACGGGGAATGGCTCTAACAAGGGCGCAGGGGGATCGCGCCACGCCGTACTAGAGGAAGAGGAGGAAACACTCACAGGGTCTGAAAGTACGGATACTGCACATGAGACTAGCAAGCGAGCACAAGAACAGTCGGGGGGTGCTAAAAGTAGGACCAAAGGGCCCACACAGACGCAACCGGTGAGTCAAGGGAGAGACAATGCCCATCCCAAGGAGGTTCAAGCTGCGGAGTCTACCGGACATGGCTCCAAGGAAATGGCTGTTGAAAAAAGCGTGCCCAAAACGGACCACCCCGAGTTGGGTTCAAAAGCAGGCCAGCCGATTCAGAGGGCCATGGAATCGGACCAGGTGATTGTTGATGAGGAAGGTGGCAACGGTTTCTCAAGGGTGGCAGTGATACCTGATGCAAATGGTGCGAAGGGTAGACCACCAGACCTAAGCCCACATTACGGGCAGTTGAAGTCACGGGACAAGGAGGAGTACATAGAGAAAGACTCCTCGGGAATGCAGCTCGACGGGAACCTGCCGCCGATCGTCTGACTTCAAGGAAGTCTCTCTCCTTTCCTTTATTTTATGGATTATAAAATTTTTTCTTGGAACTGTAGGGGAGCGGGTGGCAAGGATTTTTTACGAGCTTTTCACGAGTATCGTAGGAAATCTAAGCCTAATATAGTGATTATTGTGGAACCCAGGATTAGTGGGAACCGAGCTATTGATGTTATTCGCAAAATGGGTTATGATAAAGAACTCATAGTGGATGCAGTGGGTTTTTCCAGGGGTATTTGGCTGCTGTGGAACTCGAGTGAGTTAAACATATCAAGAATTGACTCTAACCAGCAATGCTTACATGTGCAGGTACAGGGCTTGTCGTCCCAGCAAACTGAATGGCGGCTGTCTGCTATCTACGGTAGCCCTGCACCCATGCAACGTCGCGAGCTTTGGGGGTTTTTAAGACAGCTGGCCGAGGATATGGAGCTACCTTGGCTCTTGGTGGGCGATTTTAACTCTATTATTAGCCCATCGGAGAAGCTCGGGGGGGCTCCTTTTGACGCGACTAGGATCAGGGACTTCCAGGAAGTAGTGCAGGATACCGAGTTAGTTGATTTGGGGTTCGAAGGACCAGCCTTCACTTGGTTCCGTTCGGGACTCCGGGAAAGATTGGACAGGGGCTTGGCAAATCATCGGTGGGTGACGAGCTTTCCGGAGACTGCGGTGCGACACCTGGCTCGCATGAAAAAATCCGACCACCGTCCGCTCCTAGTCTCCCTTGCCGGGCAGCATCCTCCGGCCGGGCCTAAACCATTTCGTTTCCTAGCCGCATGGCTCACTCACGAGAACTTCCGAGAAATGGCGGACGTGGCATGGGCAAGGGGGAATTCGTTTACCGAGTCGGCTAAGGCCTTTGCTCAAGATGCCACGGTTTGGAACAGGGAAGTATTCGGCCACATTACCCGGAGGAAGGACAAGCTTTTTAAACGCCTAGAGTGGCTCGAACAGAATGGGGGAGGCCAAGATATCGAAGCCCAGCTTAGGCAGTGTCAAGAGGAACTGGAGTTGGTTCTGTTCCAAGAGGAACTTCTCTGGTGCCAAAAATCACGGCTGGAGTGGATTAATTCGGGGGACAAGAACACAGCTTATTTTCACACCAGGGCACTTCGGAGGAGGAGCAGGAATCGGGTCACTATGCTAAAGGATGACGGGGGCAACTGGATTGAAGATCAAGCTCTATTGATGGAAATGGCGAGAGCATACTTCTATGGGTTGTACCAGGATGAGGGTGGCGATTTGCTTGCCTTGCTGGGGGGCTTCCCCACTGTAGAAGACTCTCGCTGGCAGGCTCTTGATCGCACGTTGTCCATGGAAGAAATTCAGGCGGCAGTCAAGGCCATGGGACCCTTGAAAGCCCCAGGCAAAGACGGCTTGAGCCCGATCTTCTTCCAGCGATGTTGGGAAACGGTAGGCAGTTCTCTGGTTGCATTTGTCATAGACTGCTGGAACAACCCGGGCAAAATCAAGGACATCAACTCCACTATTCTGGTTTTGATCCCGAAGCTAAGACAGCCAGTCACCATAGACCAGTTTCGACCGATTAGTCTCTGCAACGTGGCGTACAAGGCCATTACTAAATGCCTTGCTGAGAGATTGAAGAACCTCATGCCGGATCTTGTTCATGAAACCCAAACCAGCTTTGTTCCCGGGCGCCACATCACCGATAACATCTGCATTCTTCAGGAGGTGGTCCACTCGATGAGAGCTCGTAAAGGCAGGCGAGGGTGGATGGTGCTGAAGGTTGATTTAGCGAAGGCTTACGATAGGATCAGGTGGGGGTTTGTTCGAGATACACTTATTGCGGCAGGGGCACCGGAGAAGTTTGTAGAGTTGACGATGGCCTGCATCTCCTCAGCCTCAATGCAAATACAGTGGAACGGGGGCCTCACCGAGAGTTTCCAACCGTCACGGGGTTTGAGACAAGGCTGCCCCCTCTCTCCGTATATTTTCACCCTGTGTATGGAGAGACTGGGGCATATCATTGCAGACGCTGTCCAGGCGGGGAGATGGAAACCAATCAAACTCTCGCAGGATGGACCGGCGCTATCGCACCTGTTCTTCGCGGACGATCTGATTCTATTTGGCGAGGCGACTAGAGCACAGGTACAGGAGATAAATGCCTGCTTTGAAATATTTGGAGGCTCATCGGGCCAGCAGATCAGTAGGCCGAAGTCCAGAGTGTTTTTCTCGGCTAATACTACGGCAGAATGCCAACAGAGTCTGAGCCATGAACTGCAAATCCCAGTTACTGCTAATTTGGGGAGATACTTGGGCGTCCCGGTAATCCATGACAGAGTCTCGAAATCGACATTTATGGATCTTATCGATAGGATCGACAAGAGGCTGGCAGGATGGAAAGCGTCAACCCTATCCCTTGCTGGTCGTATCACCTTGGCGCAGTCAGTATTGGCGTCCCTCCCGGCCTATACGATGCAGACGACCTTTTTACCGGCGAGTGTGCGAGAATATATCGACAAGAAGATACGAGCTTTTATATGGGGTAGTACGGAGCAGGGGCGGAAAATCCATCTTCTTGACTGGGATACGATTTGCCGACCGAAGGATGAGGGGGGATTGGGGATGCGCGACTCCACCAGGACAAATGAGGCCTACATGCTCAAGATCGCCTGGCGAATTCTCACCAAACCTCACGAACTGTGGGCGAGGGTGATCCTGGCCAAGTATGCGAGGAAAACTGGGGAAGGGCTCCAATTCCGCACCACAGGCAGGCTTTCAAACCTTTGGAGGGGGGTTATTCGGGTGATACACCTGGTTGAGGAAGCAACTTGTTGGAATATCCGTAATGGACGAACAGCGAAGTTCTGGACTGATAGGTGGCTGGATGACAACACAATCCTCGCGCACCATGCTCCGAACCTGCCGACCGAGCTCCTTGACATGCCAGTCATTGACTTTGTACTTAACGGTAAGTGGAACTCGGAATTCCTTCTCTATTACTTACCTGTTAATGTTGTTTCGCAGATCAATCTCCACCCAGTCCCGACGGAGCAATGGGAGGACGTGCGTGCATGGAGATTCAATCCCGATGGCAAATTCAGGTTCCGATCGGCGTATGAGCTCACCGACACTGCAGAGGCGCCGAACCAAGGACACCAAGCATGGCGATCGGTGTGGAAGGCTCCGACTCTTCAACGCGTGCGAACCTTCTTGTGGCTGATGAACCATGGGCGCCTCCTCACTAACGCGGAGAGAGCACGAAGACACCTCACAAGTGATACGAATTGCAAGATTTGCGGAGGAGGACCGGAGACGACCCTACACGTCGTCAGAGACTGCCCTTTTGCCCGAGCAACGTGGGCGGATCTGCTGGAGGACGAGCCGGATTCAAGATTCTTCGAACCTGATGGCCTGAGGTGGAGTCTTTACTACCTTTCAGGGAGGAGCAATACCATTGATGCTACTATTTTTGCAGGAACCTGTTGGCTGCTGTGGAAGAACCGGAATGACTTCGTGTTCCAGGACAAGTTGAAGACCCATACACAAGTCCAGTTCCACTCAAAACAGCTCCGGGACGAGATCATTAAAGCATTCGACCAGGAGAGAACAGTTTTCGGGACTGGGGGCACCCGAGAGCAGCGCCTTGTTGGCTGGCAACCACCGGCGCAGGACTGGGTCTGTGTTAACACTGACGGCTCAGTCAATCATTCTCCGGAGAGCACTTCTTGTGGCGGCATCATGCGGGGGAGTGATGGCCGCTTCATCAGAGCATTCACAGCAAACCTGGGGGGAGGCTCTATCACCCGTGCGGAGCTGGCTGGTATTGTGTATGGGTTGGATCTTGCTTGGGAGCAAGGAGCCAGGAAAGTTCTTCTACAAACAGACTCAGCGACTGCAAAATCCCTGATTGAGAACGCCACCGAGCAGCATTTGCACTTCTCACAGATTAGCGAGATCAGGCGGAGACTACAGCGAGAATGGACAGTTCGGATCGACCATATTTTCCGTGAAGCTAACTTTGCTGCGGATCACCTTGCCTCTATAGGCCACTTAAATTCGATAGGAGTTCATGTAATGGATAGGCCGTGTACTTCTTTGCTGTACTGGCTGCTTTTTGACAGGGTGGGAATTGAAACCCCCCGGCTTGCTAGTTCGTAATAAAGGATTGGGCGCCCTAAGCGTCTAGTTTTCACCAAAAAAAAAAATTGGCTTTAGCACGTAGTACGATGGCCGAATTGGTTAGTGTTTTATAAGGGTAAGTACGTCTATTTCCTTTCATTGGACTCCATGGGAAAACGGTTCAATCAACCAATCAAAAATGGAAAATGTGGGAAGTGGGTTCTACCTGTAAAACTTACTCAACACTCTTTTCACTCTCCGACTCCGACCATCTCCTGCTGCTTCTGCTCCGTCTCCCTAGAAAATCAAGCAGCGAATGGAACCGATGGCAACGGAGCCGTCGTCTCCTTCCATAGTCGAAGTCAGAGAAGAGATTATGATCTCTCCGGTCGACGGTGAAGCAACCTCTACGCCGAGGACAGCCCATTTCCTGAAACCCTCCATCTCTTCATTCAAAGCAACGATCTTTGAGTCCCCTCCATCCGATCTCTCAATAACCCCCTCGCGGCCGTTCGTTTCTTTTGCTGGTTGGAGGTACGGAGCAAGAAATTGGAAGTTGTGGGTGGAGAAAATGGCGGCAACCCACAAACCCACATGGGAGAAAGCCGGCATTTTTTATGCGGTGAGGAACTCGGTCCACGAAATCAGGAGAGACGACGACTTGGTTTTCGGATTGGCGGAGAGATGGTGCTCGAAGACCAACTCATTCGTTTTGCCGTGGGGTGAAGCTACTGTGACATTGGAGGATATGGCGGTTCTGGGGTTCTCTGTATCAGGGTCCCCTGTTTTTCGCCCCATTGGAGAGACAGAGGAGCTGAAAGAGCTGGAACAGGGTCTTAGTATGGCGATGAAGGAGATCTCGCGATCGACGGCTAAAAAGGCAGCAGTTGGTTGCTGGATAACGAAATTCAGAGATAGCGAGAGCTTAATCGAGCACGAAGCTTTTCTGGTGGCATGGCTGTCCAGGTACGTTTTTTCCAATACTCACGATTGCATAAGAAGGGAAGCTTTTCCGATAGCTATTCACCTTGCTAGGGGAATTAGAATTGCTTTGGCACCCGCTGTTCTCGCCAGTATTTATCGCGATTTGGGCATTTTGAAGCGTGAAATTGTCAACGAATCAAGAGGTTCTTCGTCTTCCATTGTCAAACTCTGGTCACCATTTCAGCTAGTCCAGGTATGGGCTTGGGAGAGATTCATTCAGGTTCAGCCGCAGCCTAACGATCTGAGCCGCGGCGAACCCAGATTAGCTCGATGGAGTTCCAAGAAGATAGAAAAAAGAGGCCAGGACAGGAGGATGATGTTGGACTCTGCTGCAGACACTTTCATCTGGCGTCCGTACACTCTGCCCGTCAGAAATTGGGGATTTCCCCTCAAATTCTACGGCGAGAAGGAGAGATGGGTAACGCTCAAGTCTGGCTATGAGAACGACGACGACGATGATGATCTGGTGTGTTTTGCTCGATGCTTGAGGCCTTCATTTCTTGTTGGAATGGACACTGTAGAGCAGTATTTTCCTCATAGGGTTGCAATGCAGTTTGGGTTTGATCAAGGCATACCTGGCTGTGTGGGTGAATCAAACAAGACTACTGATTGCTCTGTTGATGCTTGGGGTGATTACAGTAGAGATTTAGATGGTGTAAGCTTGTATGTCCCGTCCCGGCTATTCGAGGCAGATGTAACTACTCTTTATCATCAATGGTGGAAACAGGCGGTTGTGGAATTGCGCCGAGGGGAGCTACTGAGTTTGTCAAAGCGGGACAAGGGATCGAAGAAGTTGATGGAGAAGAAGGCTGGTGGTGGGAAGTTAACTTTGTCGAAGAAGGTTTCGAAGCATGAGCAGAAGAGAGGTCTAGAAACAGCAGCAGATGGTTCGGGCTCTAGGGGTCTTCTTAGTCAGAAAATCTCAGCAATGTCATATAAGAATGCAAAGAGAAAGAATGATGGTCACAATGGGTTGACTGACATCGACCGCCTTGTGAAACGGGCTCGGGCTCGGGCTCATGGTACCATATTTACCAAAGATGGTTCTCGTATTGATGTCTTGGATCCATCACCGGTATCAGAAGCTAAGGTTGTGGGAAGGGATGATGATGAGGAGGAGGAAGATATGATGACAAGTGGACAGTTGGTGAAAGCTAACTACAAGCATGGACATGCTGAGAAGATAATATATGGTGGGGATGCTCCCAGTTCGTCTCTCCGGTCAAGGAATATTGGAGGAGCTGTTGAAACTGTGTCGGCATTGATTGGGATCGAAAGGGAAGCAGCTGCTGAAAGTAGACAGAAGAATCATGGCTACCAGAATCATTTGGATCAGTCCTCGAATTGCCAGTTTTCAGTAGCACCGGGTCAGACTCCTGGGGTAGGATCCAGTGATGTTTCGTCAGGTCAACTGCAATCCCTTTCCTTTTCAGCAGAGAAAGATGTGGTGGACTTGGTAAGTCCAGATAGAGAAGCAACGATGAAAACTGTGATGAAGATGGAGCCTTTTGAAGAAGTGATGAAGGAAGTTACAGCAGCAGCAGTTGCTGAAGTTGAGAACCAAAGTAATGAGTCTACTGTAAGCTTGTCTGGAGGAGCAATGAACCTGGGCATCAGAAACAGCGAAGCGGGTGGTGGTGATTCCACGTTTGGATCGATGCTGAAACGGCTTGACACTCAGCTTAGTGGGCTGGAGAAGCAACTCGCTGTGTTGAAAGCAGCAAGAGTTGTTGGCAAGTAATCCGGGGGTACTCTTCTTAGTTCTTAGTAGACTATTTTTCAGCTCCAGTTACTTGGGCTGCAAGGCAGTGGAGTTGGAGTTCTAGCTTGTCAAGAATCAGGAGGAAAGTTGACCTTTGTTGTTTCATAGGAAGCAATTACAACGTCTTGGTTCAGTTCAAGTTGGTGTAGTTGTAAATTGACGCTACTTATTTACTATTTAGAAAGCAATATGAACTGTAAGTCCAACCAAACAGTATGTTCCTTTTAAGTAATATAAGCCTATACTGATAAACAATGAAGGAGAAAGGCTAGGAACCAAAGCAACATAATCTGTTTCAGCATTACAAAACCCAGTCAAACGAAATTTATTCCAGCAGAAGTGACAAAGTTTGTTCATGCTAAAACTAAAAACATCTGACAGCACAAACTGTTGAAGTGCACACTCTCCATCCGGCCTCTACCTGCTCACCAAGAAGCCTTTTTCACACCATTCAACATTCCTTGATTTGCCAGTGTGCGGAAGACGATACGAGACATTCTAAAGAACTCGTAAACACCGCGAGGGCGACCAGAGAAGACGCATCGGTTTCTGATTCGGGTGAAGGAGCTATTTCTCGGTAGCTTGGACAGTTTAGCAGTGAGTTTCTCGCGCAGTTCGCTTGGAAGTTCAGGGTCTCTGATAAATGCCTTGTAAAGGTTTCTCTTCAGCTCAAATTTCTCCGCCAGCAACCGCCGGTTGTGATCTTTTATACACTTTGGCTCGTCCTGCCACATCTTAACAGTCTCCAAATCTGAACACAATCAACCGCAAAAGAAAAGCAGAGTCAAACTACCCCCCACTTGGAACACAACATGCTTCATATGATGACAGCCCAAGACTCGTTAAATAGATGAACATATCTATGCATTGCAGTTGTATTCATATTGAAATTCATTCCCAGATCACAATTTCAGTGGCATATTGACTTCAGTTGGGAATCTTAGTTCTACCTATCCTTTATTCTAGCATATGCTTTTGCATCCAAGAAAATCTGCCTCCACAAATGACATCAAAACGGTCCCTGATTTGTTGAAAGACAAAAAGGGAATTGAGAAGACAAAAACTATGGTAATGTGAGAAATCAAAAGCCTGTGGCTGAGAGTCTTAAGAATTCTAGAAGCCGAAATCATAAGCTTGTGTGTTTGCTTATCAAACCGAAAACAATGGTCCATGTGCTACACCTCGCCTATATGTACAACGACAGTAGCGAGATTTTTGTTGGGACAAATAGTCTTAGTTACTGAATTCAAACGTTCTACTTTGAACAAGTATTTACAGACAAGACAAGGGAAAGTACAATCAATGCTCGATTCTGAAAGTATCAACTACGTTCAGCTTAATGAAGTTCCACAACTGGTGACAATTTTATCACATTTCATAGTCATCAACAGAGTATAAGTTAACTTCATCCCCGTCCTCCCTCGAACCTTTACATATTCAATAGCATCAAACAATGTTGACCCAGGCCAGCAATCAACAACCTTGACATATTTGTTCGACGCCAAATATCTGACACTTAACATATACGAGCCAATCCAAAAAGTAGCCGAGCATATAGTACGGTCTATGGATACAAGAAAAAGAGAAACTGATGATTTAAACCGAGAAAATCACTTCAGATTCGGTAAAAAAAGGAGAACTTGATCGCAGCGATACAGCAATCGCGGATACTACCGAAAACAAGAATGGAAAAAGCAAACAGTGGGAAGTTCACAGCAAACGAGAGTTGCTACTTACGGTGGAGATCCGGCGCCGTGGATCGGAATAGAGCGAGCTAAGATCCCAACTTTCTGAGCTGAAATCTTTCACGTGAGCTTTGAACTCTGCAACTTATTTGGTAATCGAATCCCTAAAATTCTGAGCGTAAGAAGAAAGGTCCAATTCCAATCCAACTCAAGCAAAACGACAGCTCGTTTTGCGTTTCTCAGAATAAAGCAAGTGAGTTGGGCCCGGATTGAGCCCAACTGTTCCTTTAAAACGTCATTTCAAAAAGATGAGCCCAACAAACGCCCAAGCCCAACTCTAATCTGTGTTCCAGACGATTGCTCTGCGGGTCGCAATGTGGACCGCTGAAACTGCCCGGGATTGGGTGCCCAAACTGGTCCAACCTTATGCTCGAGCCACCAGCAAAAAAAAAATAGACTATTTTTTCGATTTGCGGTTAACCACTAACCGCGCAGTTTCAGCGCGATTAGCGTTTTCACCGTGAAACCGCAACCGAATTCCCACCGTTAACTACAGGACTGGTTCCTGCTTATGCATAAACAATAGCACTTCCTAGAGTTCAAAAAGCACACTCCAAATTTTATCAGAGTAAAAGTACATCTACTACATAGCACGGATCAAGAAATGAACCTTCAAAATTTCAGCTTTATTCTGCAGGCTGCAGCTACTTTCAGTATACAATATCTGGTGATATATCGACTTATGAGGTTGGCTAACATCTACAGGCAGTATGTCGGGGCGCTAGAAGGACGATACACAAACGGTCTGACGCTGTGAGAATATCCGGACGGCTTGTTGTAACTGAACTTCAGCCCTTTGCTAGAAGGACCAAGTTGGTTGCAGCGTTCATGGAAGCTGCTGATAGGTCTTGCCAGGCATGCATCCCAACGGTCGCTTTCAGGCATGGTTTCTGCAACAGTGTACACCCCTTTAGCATTTGTGAATGCTTGATAGTTGACTACTTCTCCTGGCTTTGTTATGCACAGAACGGCTACTTCAGCACCTGCAGTTTTAGAACGAGGTTCACAGATCAGCGGCAGCTCTCCAAGTGAGAAGGAAGTGCAGTGAAGAAGGTACAACTAACTCTAGTACACGATTCTCTCCAAGCGCCGGCCAAAATCTGTTCTTTCTTTCAGACAAATTAATGACAAGTAGCAAGCACAAGGTTTTCAAGCAGCTATTTAGACGACATGCTGCAATTCCTTCTAACTGCTTGCTATTTAGACGACATGCTGCAAGAGACTTCAGTTTCGAGAGTGCCAGAAAGCATCTCAATCAAGTGCAAGTACACAAAGAAGAGGCTCAATTAATGGTAACGGAACTTTAGAACAAAGGAATAAACAATAAACAAGATGATGATTTGAAAGGGATGATCGAGAGAGGAAGATAAAGGTGATCAGGGATCACTTTACTCCATAGAATCATCTACAACAAGAAGTCTGAGGGATGTAAACTCAGAATGAGAATGACATTTGTGCATCCAGCTTTGCCAGTGTATCTAAATGCTCAATCTCAACAACAGTGGTGAAAGTACTTCTGTGATCCACACAAATGATGAGATCACCCTTTCAAATCTCATCATCTCTGGAACATTTCAATGTACAAAAATGACAGCATTGTAGTAATCTTGCTCGTGAAAGGTTTGATTTTTGAACCCACTGAACCTCAAACAACAGCACCCCTCTCCCTCATTAGAGATCTACTTTATAAAAAACATGGTTAAACAGCTCAGTAGACACCAAGCTTAAGAACCACAGATTGAAAGCAATTTTTGCTGAGCAGAGCTGCAAGCAACTCTGTCAATAAACCAGGTATTGGCGAAAACGAACTGGGTCGGATATTAATTCAAGTTCTGGGAGATTTAGAAATTGGAAAATCGAACTACCCAAATTGAAGCATCGAAGGATCCAATTTCATCCAAGTCCCACAGGAATCAACGACAACCACAAGAACCGCCTGAATCCATGCAGAAAAGGGAGTTACAGACCTTCCAAGACGTGATCCTCGGGCCCAATGGAGGAATCCCCACACACATCACAGACAACTCTTCCATGGATTTCGCCAGTCCAAGCACCGACGCCGGGAAACGAGGCCGCCGCCATTAGAATTACTGCCGCCGCCAACATAAGCTTCCTCGACATCATAATCTGCTGCTGCGGCGTCGGTGACGCCATGGCTGCTCCCACGGAGATTCCTCCGCCTCACTTGGCCTCTCTTGAGACCTTGAGTGCTGTCGTCGGTTGGTAGACGATTTATGTCGGTGACTCAGGTGCTAAAACGTGGAAAACAATTGTAGAACTTTTGGGTAGCAGATAGAAATTATCAAGAAATTGGTGCGGCAAACTGGAAAAAAGACGTAGATGCACAAAATTAAAAATATCAGAGCCTGGTTTCGATCCAGGGACCTGTGGGTTATGGGCCCACCACGCTTCCGCTGCGCCACTCTGATGGTTTGATTATTCGTTGCGAAGTCAATTATATCTATATTAGCCTGTAAAAGCTTATGAGAATTGAGAACATGAACCGGCGAATAATCTTCCAGCGACGAGGAAAGCTTTGGCGAGAGAACGAAAATGAGACGGCGACCAGGAATCGGCGGCCTACAGACGGCTGCCAATGCTAGGGTTTGTTCCCCATTGATTGATTTTACAGTTTGCGTTTCGTGCCGGTAGTTAATTGTTCTTAGTCATGTCCATGTTTCGATTTTTCTTTCTCCCCAATTGGGAACTTGCGAAGGATCAATATCGGCTCCTGGGTGAAAATGTGGCCAAGCTAAGAACCGACCTTATGAAAGAGCAGCTCGCCACTTTCCGATCTCAGCTGGAAGATTTTGCCCGCAAACACAAGGTAAGGAATCTGCCCTCCTCGTCGTCTATCTTGCTGTCTTTGGTGGCAAAGGAGTCGACTTTGGATTCTGAGCAATCAGTAATTGCTAAAGCTTTGGTTTTTCTGAGTTAGGATATTGATCTGTTAATGGTGGATGGTTGAAGGTTATTGGTTAGAATTTTGTGCTTGGTTGTGGAAGAAGCTTCACATTGTACAAAGATTTTTGTGTATCCCAATTGGTGACTGAGTTGTTCTTCTGTTAGCATATCATGGTAGTTAGAAGTTGTTCTTCTGCTCACCTCTTCATATTTCTTCAGTATATATGAAGATTATAGTTCAAGCAATTTTCATCCTCTGCCTCTGCTAGATACGAAGTTCTGGTGCGAATCATTCGTCCCTTCTCTTGATCCTCTTGAGATAGTATCTGCTTCTTGGGAAGATTTTACCTTGGCTGAATCTCTGTCACTATCTTCATCTTCAGAATCGCTTCATTCGAATTAGTGCTTCTTAGCATAACACACCAATGAAGCCATAGTCAAGTCATATTATTTTCATCATTTGTATGACCTGTAGCGAGCTTGTCATTTCCGTTTCTTTCTGCAATAAAAGGCTTCAAGTTTTGGCGAGTGTCATTCATTTGTTTCCAAGTCTCCCTTGATGCAATAGTGAACCAACCAGCTCCCAGATACCTATTTAGTTGCCTTAATGACTCGGTGTGATCTCCTCCATGTCGCCCATTCATTTTTCTCTGCAAACACACAAAAAACGGTGAAGCTCATAATCTGAAGTGATATATCGCAGAATGACATTCGCAAGAACCCAACATTCCGGGCACAATTCCATGAGATGTGTGCTAAAGTAGGAGTGGATCCGTTGGCCTCAAATAAGGGATTCTGGGCAGAGCTGCTGGGAATTGGTGACTTCTATTATGAACTTGGTTAGTCTTCAACTTAGATTTTTTGTATTTATCCATGCAAACTACTGTTTTGATTGAAAGAGCAAGAACCAAAGAGTGCATGGATGAGAAATCTCTGTTATCAGATTGTGTCATTAGGCAGTTGAACAACTAGAAATATGGGGATCTGATGTGGGCTGTACTATTTTGCTAAGACAGGGGTACAAATTGTTGAGATATGTTTAAACACGAGATCTCATAATGGAGGTCTGATAAACCTGCCTGAGCTCTGCAATCTACTTCGCCAGAGGAGGAAAGGTGATCGCGGAGCTGTGACTGAGGATGACTGCTTGCGTGCTATAAGTAAACTTAAGGTTTGTATTTAGGAATCAAAAGTTACCCTTATTTTGTTTCCCAACAACCTGTCTCAGTGAAATTTGCTTAACTGATTACTTTCCCAGGGATTGCGTCTTTGTTGTTGCCTGCCTAATTCTCTTATTAGTAAAAACTGCTTGAATATTTCAGGTAATGGGGAGTGGTTTCGAGGTTATATCTGTTGGCAAGAAGAAGTTGGTTCGGTCTGTGCCAACGGAACTGAACAAAGACCACAACGAAATTTTGGAATTGGCTCAGGTTCCATCTTCTATTCCCCTGCCTCCTAACACTGCCACCATTTCCACCAGAACACAAGTTTACACATTTATCTACATTTTCCCCTTAGGCGCAAGGCTTTGTAACTGTTGATGAGGTGGAAAGGCGCCTATCATGGACAACTGGTCGAGCCATTGACGCCTTGGATACACTCTTAGAGGTGAAGCTTCTGCTGCTTTTTACCACGTCATGCATTCCAGAACTAGAATACAATTGTTCACTCACGATTCTTATTGACTGGTGCAGGAAGGGCTTGCCATGATCGACGACGGCCACAGGGATTGCAAGCGAAGATACTGGTTCCCCTGTGTCTCCTCCATCTCCTCTGCAGTTGGGGACTGATATTTGAAGTGGTATCTTCCCTGGCCAATTTCAGTTTTGTTTCATGTTTCCAGTCCATGCTTGGATGCAAAATGTTGTTGATGTTGTACAAACAATTTCAACTTTTGCTTATCTTAAAGCAAATGAATACAGGATGCAGAAGAACGGATGGAATGAGGTAATATAGTAGAGCTATGCAACTACAAAAACATTTCATTCATTTTTTCCTAGTGCAACATTTGATTGTCTGATTGTGATCTCAGCCTCCTCCTCCTCTTGTGTCCAGGCAGAGTTGGGGTCGCACTCCAGGACCTAGGTTTTACCCCAAGCTGAAAGTAGACCACCATTTGCAACACCTCAAACACCTTATTCTTGTCCAACAAGTGATTCCACATCCCACTCACTATGCAGTAGTTGTTGTTGTAAGGCAAGCAAAGGGTTTTCAAAGGGTCCTGATGAATCAGAATGACCGTAACCCTTAGGGGTGACAGTTCGGTTATTTCGGTTATAACAGATAACCGATCGGTCGGTTATCGGTTAACCGAAACAACCACCCCTTCTACCAAAAACCGACCAAGATAGGTTTCGATTTCTCGGTTATCGGTTAACCAAACCACTTTTAAGACCAAAAGCCATTTCGTCCAGCCTCCAATAACCGACCGAAGTTCGGTTACCGGTTAGTGGATAACCGACCGGTTAATTGATAACCGGTAACCGAACGGCCACCCCTAGTAACCCTATTGAACCGGCAACCCCAACTAACCCACTACCCGTTCGACTTGTAGCATAATTGATTTGCAACCCGACTAACTCGTAATTCAATTCAAACCCAACCTCGGCCTGCCCGAACCTACCCATTGACATCCTGGCAAGGTTGTCAACCCGCGGGTTGATCCGCGGGTCGACCCACTTTGACCTTGGCCTGATGAGAAAAACGGCCGCACGCACCCGCCTGGTCGACTTCTATAAGGTACCGGGTTAGAGGTCAAATTGTGTCATTTTTTTCTTTGGTTTGCGAAATGCACTTATTTTCCGATTTTTCTTTTCGCTTAACTCAATCTTTGAAATCCTAAGTTGAACATTTGAATATATATATATATATATGCTATATAAATGTGTGTGAATTTTCACTATATGTTGGATCTAAGTACGACATGTTATTTTGGTGGAATATTATATGTTATAACTATGTTAGATGAGATTTAATATAATTTATCAAGATAAATACAATATAATGACTCTTCTCATATTTGTGGGCTAAACCGGGTAACCCATTAACCCTTGACCCACTAATTCGACCTGGTCCGGATCAACCCGCGGGTTGACAATCTTGCACGCTGGTATCTACTCGTCCCACATGCATTTGGTTGGTTGACACGGCGTACAAGCAACAGAGGACATGCGGATTTTTGAAAGAATCTTCTCCCAATTACGTGGCATATACCAAACCAAATGAAACTCCATTTGGGGACATCTGATAAAACTAATAACCAAAAGAAGCACCAACCACGGCCAAAGCTTCCCCCAAATCAATCACTCGCTCCAAGAAGAAAAACCATTCCCGATCCCGATCCCGATCCCGATCATTCACACAAAGCAGCCAGACATGCTGAAAGCTCAGCTCTTGTTCTTGGATGATCCTTGAAAAAGGAAGGGCAAACCTTATCATAACGATAACTGGGGAAAAGGGTAGAAAAAGTTAGATTAGTTTGTTCCTTTATCCAGGGCTCTTTGCTTCGAGGAACCCACTTCCCGTTCTCAACCATGGAGTCATTTCCCTCCACGAAACCCTCCTCCTCCTACTCAATCTTCGTAGCCCAATTCTTCTTGTTCCTCGTTTGCGCCACTCAAGCTATAAAAACCCCGTTTCACCCACGGGACGTGCTGCCGCTGTTACCCAAGGAAGTTTCCTGGCCGGTCCTTGATTATCTCAATGGGGCGGTGGATCTTCTCCCGACGTTTGTGGGTGCTGCCTCTTCTCCAGAAAACACCGCGGTGTGGAAAGGCGCGTGCTTTTACGAGAACGAGGCTTGGATGGAGTTCCACAATAAGACTGGGAGCCAATTCGGCGGCGGTACCCTTCACCTTAAGGTGATTCTCCTGCTCTAAAAACTTGTCTTTTGGGTAAATGATTTTTGCCAGCCTCTTATTTACTTGTTCCTGATTCTGATGTTGTCTTGAACGACTGAGTGTAATAGATGGGCGCAAAGTAATCATTTAGGGATTTGTATGCTTTCTCTTTAGGTGAACTACCATTAACTGTTAATTAGTCTAGCCTGGATACTTTGGATTTGAAATGAAGCTTCTGCAGTGTTAATCTGGCCAGGTCGTGATGTGATGAAGTTATTCTTACTTGCCAGAGTTGCCCTGCATATTTTTGGCTGATTTTACTATTTCGATTTGCTCCCCTGGTTCAGTCTACCTGTAGGTTTCTTTAGTGTTTGTTGTCCTGATTGTATGTTGTGTACCTTTGCCATGGCTGCATGATGCTTGACTGTTTGTAATGTTTTAGAGGAGGATTGGTTCCAGGATCTCTTTTGGCAGTATCATCCTCAATTTCTAATCTTTTGAGCTGTATTGAAAACCAATTCAATTTGAAGTCTTTATGAACTTGTTATTTGATTGAGTGACCTATGCAGATCAGTAAAGCTCATAGCTGGACATGCATGGATCTTTATCTCTTCGCCACTCCATATCGCGTAACTTGGGATTACTATTTTGTTTCTCGGGAGCATACACTGGAATTCGAAGAGTGGGAAGGAAGAGCGGAGTATGAGTATGTAAGTTCCATTCTTTTAGCTTAAATGAAAGATAAAAGGAGGGAAGGGGGTTATCAGTTATGGTACCAAATGTACTGTTTTTTTCAATCATATTAATGGATGTATTCTTCATCATTGTATGAACAGGTGAAAAACAAGGGGGTCTCAATTTTTCTCATGCAAGCAGGGATGTTGGGAACTCTCAGTGCCCTATGGGATGTCTTCCCCTTATTCACTAATACCAAGTGGGGTGAGAATTCTAATCTTGCTTTCCTTAAGAAGCACATGGGTGCGAACTTTGAAGCCCGTCCTCTGCCCTGGGTCACCAACATCACAGTTGATGAGATTCACTCTGGAGACTTTCTTGCAATATCAAAGATCCGTGGGAGGTGGGGCGGATTTGAAACTTTGGAGAAGTGGGTCAGTGGAGCTTATGCTGGACACTCTGCTGTTTGCTTAAGGGATTCTGAAGGAAAATTATGGGTCGGTGAATCAGGACATGAGAACGAGGAGGTAATCATTGTTGAATTTCTAATACTCAAATTTTCTTTTGATGGAAGTGGCACTTCGACTATCTAATGGTGCCATTTCAGTGTCCAATTGGATGCCTTTAATGCTATTATCTCTTTCTCCCCTTTTAAAATTCGTGTACTTCTGAACTAGTTGAGCATTCCCTCCACCAGAGTATTTTTAACTTGCTAGTGATAGAAGAAGTTCTGTGAATCTTACCTTACAGACCTCCTTCTAATACTCATTCTGATGGTGTTTCCAAAATTATTTTATTGGCCATGGAACCAATCTTGGCCTGGCATATAGCAAAAGTTGGAGACCATTTTATTTGGTTTGGTGTGAGTATCCTTGATTACTGTGCGGATGGTGTGTCTTTTGTTGGTAGGGAGAAGATGTTGTTGCCATATTACCGTGGGAGGAATGGTGGGAGTTTGAACTGAATGAAGATGACTCCAATCCCCATATTGCTTTGCTTCCTTTGCGCCCTGAAATCCGAGCCAAGTTCAATGAGACAGCTGCTTGGGAGTATGCATTAAGCATGGATGGCCAACCTTATGGATACCATAACTTGATATTTAGTTGGATAGACACTATCAATGGCAACTTTCCACCTCCACTTGATGCTCATCTGGTAAGAAAAGACTTCCCACTTTCAAAATTTGTTTCTGATTTTATCTCCCATTTGCTTGAACACTCTCCCTTATCATCTGAAAAACAGTTTGGTTCCGCGGTTCCTTTTTCTTAACTCGATCTTTCTTCATTACAATTTACCGTCTTATCCTCCTTGTCTGGTCTTTATTGTGTGATATTAAATTTAAAATTGCATGACAATCTTGTTAAATTGCACCGTTTAGATCTTGGAAATAGCAGAGGAAAATGTTTACTGTTGATTTTTCATGGTTATTGGGTCTGATACTTTTGCAGGTAGCTTCTGTTATGACAATTTGGAGTCAGATGCAACCTACTTATGCTGCAAACATGTGGAATGAAGCCTTGAACAAGCGACTTGGAACTGAGGTATCAACGCTATTAGCTTGTCCTGCTTGATTGTCTGGCCATGTTAGTGGCAGTTCCCTATTTATTAGTTTGGACTCAGCTTCTCTTTCTTCTTCTCTTCTTATCATACGGGCATCTGAACACCACAACTGCAACTTCTTATATGGTGTTGCTGTAAGCCTGTAATTGAGGATTATGATCTCTATATACATGGTCGAATGCAGGGGCTTGATTTACCAGCCATTATTGTAGAGTCCGAAAAGCGTGGTTCATCCTTTGGGGATTTGTTAACAATTCCGGAACAAGATGACTGGTTGTACTCGGATGGGAAGTCTACATCTTGTGTGGCTTTCATTCTTGAAATGTACAAAGAAGCAGGACTCTTTGATCCATACTCTAGTGATATACAAGTCACCGAGTTCACGGTTAGTTTCACTTTCATTCATTTCCTGGTCTTGAATCATGGTAGTACTTAGGGACATTGTGTTGGAAGCATCTATCTAAATCCAAAGCTCAGTGAAGCCAAAGACTTGTTTATGTTCTTCAAGGAAGTTCAGTGGTGGAAGATTTTTGAACTACTGTTTTAATGATGCAGATCAAAGATGCTTACTCCCTCAATTTCTTTGAGAACAATGCAAGCCGTTTGCCATCCTGGTGCAATGATGGGGATGATGTGAAGATGCCCTTTTGCCAGATCAAGGGGCAGTATCGAATGGAATTACCGGAATACAATACCATGGCTCCTTATCCCCACATGAACGAGAGGTGTCCTTCCCTTCCGCCAGACTACTTCAGGCCGCAGGATTGCTAAATCGGTCGTAATCAATCTCTCTCACTTCCTATGGAAGTTATGACATGGCCAATGTCAGCGTAGACTGTGCTTGTTTGTCTGTCCTTGTAGTAGTAAAATTGGCAAATGCGGACTGCCTAGTACTGTTAGTGAAAGAACAGAAAGAAAAGACAAATGTAAAGAGCACGAAAGATGAAGGGTTGGTGTCACTTGTAAATATGCAGATCATTGTGTAAAGAGAAAGTCAGGGGTTACTGATGTTATGTTCTACTGTCCTGGTCTTAAGTTAGTTGTGATCTTAATCAAGTTGTTAGCACTTTGATTTATCCTTTCCTTTGAATTCGTGGGTGTATGAAATTAGAGAAACAGTTTTTTCTCTGTGTTTAGATGGTGATGGCAGTATGAATGAGAACAAGAAAATCTGTCATTTGCTCTACTCTTCAGGAAATACTTGCAACTTTCTGTTTGCTCAAAACAATCAGAAGACTGACACAAAAAGTTTGGTGACATTCTGTATGTTTGAATCTATGACAGTTTGGTCACTGCTTGCAGTTCCATAATCTGGTTGGGAGGGAGGATGATGAGAAATGGAAAGATAAAAAACAGTGACAGAAGTTATGGTGATACAAGAGTTAGGAACCAACATAATTTATGTTTGGGCGTCGAGAATAGTCTAATCCCGGTGAAAACAAAGCATACCGTCGAGAATAGTCTATAAAAAGCACATGTACGATAAGATAATGATACAGATGTGTCAAACGAAGCTGCAGGGTGCTTTCAATACAGAGCTATCGCCAAATTCATAAATCTCGGTATGTATTTTGAGGTTAGTGTTGTAGCATGTCACGCGTGCTATTACTCGGCCTTGCTCGGAATGTGGTTGCCACCGGTTGCGACTTTGTAGAGATAAAATGCAGTCATGAGACCACTGCAAAGGTGGAAGCAAACATAAAGATTGTAAATGTGATGCCATAAACTTAGCAGATCCCACAGATGGCTTGTACAATATTTCAATATATAAACTATCAACATAGCTTTGCGTTGCAGAGTAATCAAACATTTAAGAGGTTGGCACCAATGGCTAGGAGACTTGGCCAGTTCTAGCTATTGCAGCCACTGCAGAAGCCTGTTTCGATCGTTTCATTCCATCTTGTTCATCATCATTCATAAGCTGGCATTTTTCTTTACCACTGGACCCTAAATATATATACCTAGTAGGCAACTTTTTCCTGACTGGTTTGTAAAGACTAGCAATCTGGACATTTACAGTAACTTTTGTCCTAAAGGGATGGATTGAATTGAAAGAGGAAACAACAGATTGTGCTAACAAGTTTCCTAATATCTCATTTTACAGAGATAATCAATGACAGCTACGGACGTCAAGTGCCACAAGAACTCCACAATGATGCCGTGATCAGACTAAACAAACTGATGATCTTCAATAGTTTACTTGGCAAAATCTGCACATCTATTCCACAACTGGGGCTCAACACTTATCCACAATTGCTAATACTATATCTGCTGCCTCTTTTATCCTGAACTTCAACACTATGTTAATACAACTCCTTCCATGGCATGCTTAATTCTTCAGTTCATATCTTGTGAATATCTTAAACTTGCTAAGGTATCCTGTGAATATTCAAAAACAAGGAGATAGCTACAGCATCCTGTGAATATCGACAACTATAGACTAGCTTCTATGCTCACACTACTAAAGTTTCTGAATAACTTGGAGAAGAAATCAGGAAGTAGTTATGTATTTTCTTGTTCGGTTAACACTACGATGACAGAGGCCATGAAATGATACATGCAAGTAATTGGACAACAATTTGCAATCCTGAAGGATTCATCATACCTGATACCAGCAAGAAGACCAGCAGGCATGATCTTTGAAGTTTGCAGGTAGCGTTGCCCCATGATAAACGTCAAAGCAGCAGCACATACTGCATCAGTCCAATCCAAAATTGATCAGTAAGTACATTCGTCTCCGCGATATTCAATGCTATTAACAACCCATAGAGCAAGAACCATCATAGCTCTATACTGATTCTCTAACATAATAAGGTGCAGGTTGATTCACTACACCAATAGACAAGAGAGAAACAAACTACTAACACGGTCACACAGAAGAAGAAGAAGAAAAAAAATAGATGATGTCTAGACCAGTTAATCATGGAGCAACCAAGCTCGAAACGATGCCAAGGTCGAGATCATAGACATGGTAGCTGATCTATCTTGTATATGAGTGAAAGCAATGTAATTGGCCACAAAGAACAGAAGATCTCACAACATGCATCAAATGTAAGCAAATTAACTTGTTCAAGAAGATCGAAAGCTATTTCCTCAATGATTGAGCAAAACGAATACACCAGAGATCTTCACAACCAAGAAAAATCGAAAGCAGAAATCAAACCCAACGAATTGCTCTTTGACCCCCTTTTACTAAAAACCCAGAACCTCGCTCAAATCAAAACATAACGAGGATCCATCCAACACAATGAAGCAGAACAAAACCAAACATGAAATCCAACAAAAGCAATGTGGAAAAACAAAAACAAAAGACAGAACAAGAGACGGTATAGAAGCGCGCACCAGTTTCAATGGCTAAAGCGAAGAAATTGTTCTTTCTCTTCTCGAAAGCTTTCAAGCTCAAATACCCAGCTAAGATAAGTAGAAACCCAGTCCCCGCGCCGCCGCCAAGCGACGCCACGCTCCCTTTCTTCAGATACCCCATCACTCCTCCCGCCACAAGAATCAGCCCGTACGGGATCGTGAAGCAGAAATCGTGCATTTCCCCCCTTTTCTTTATCCCTTTCGCCGGTCGCCGGTCGCTCCTCCCCCTTCTCTTTCAGACGCCTCAGAATTCGAAGTCTAACCTCGTACCCAGATCGAAGAAGAAGAAGAAGAAGAAGAAGAAGAAGAAGAAGAAGAAATCGCCGCCCTTCTTCGCTTTTGCGCTCTGTTCAAATCGTGGAATTGTCAACAGAAAACAGAAGCGAGAGCTGTTATTAACTGTCACGGCGGTGGCGCGTGGAAAATTCGTTCAGGTCAACTGATCCCCCTCTGCGCGTCTTTGAATTTCCAGAACTACCCTCAACCTTGAAACGCCGTCGTTTCCTCGAGACGGAGGTTTTAGGCTCTGCCTCTGTCTCCTCTTCGAAACTGAAACTCGAAAATCAGCCGATGAACTCTACCGTCTGTTGCTCCAAATGCTAGGAAAGCTCCGTTCTTTCCCCGACAGAGTCGCCAGAATCACCAAATCTCCTCCCTACTCATACATCTCTACTCTCTTCACTCACTCTCAATCGGAAGAACCATATGACCCGCCATTCTCAGTCATCTCCAAACCCGCGAAACCACCCAAACCCAAAAAGAAGAAGCAAACCAAGTCTCAGGACAAGAAGACGACCACCACCATACCCGCCGAGCGGCCCAAGCTGCCGGTGAAATCCGACCTCCCTTTCGATTTCAGATACTCTTACTCCGAGTACAATCCGGCGGTGGAGCCAATTGGGTATCGAGAAAAGAAGAGGTTCTCGCCGTTCGGACCTCGTCGGCTTGACAGGGAATGGACGGGCACCGCTGCTCCGGCGGAATCGAATGTGGATGATCAGGAGCGGTACCTGGAGGAGAGGAATCGGGTGCTGGGTGACCCGCTTACGGCGGCGGAATTGGAGGAGCTCGTCGAACGGTATAGGCACAGCGATTGTTCCCGCCAAATCAATCTGGGTAAAGCGAGAAATCTTCTCTAGGGTTACTGTTTTCAATTGCAAAGTTCAGAGCTTTTTGTGAGTCTGTTGAACTCAGAATTGGGGGTTTTGATTTTTTTTTTTTTTTGCCTCTACTTGTATAGGGAAAGGAGGGGTGACTCATAATATGCTGGATGATATCCACAACCATTGGAAGCGAGCTGAAGCCGTGAGAATCAAGTGCTTGGGAGTTCCAACTCTAGACATGGGCAATCTCTGCTTCCACCTCGAGGTACGAAGGACTTACAACAATCCATGAGTGGTTGTGTATATAAGTATATTGTTGTTCTCTCTCTGCTTTCTTTCTGCCTCTGGGAATGTTCAGAGAATTGTTGTGGTGATTTTTAGTCTATGGCATAGGACAAATCTGGTGGGAAGATCATATACCGCCACATCAATGTCCTGCTTTTGTACCGGGGGAGAAACTATGATCACAAGAGCCGTCCACTTGTTCCCTTGATGCTCTGGAAGCCTTATCCCCCTATATACCCGAGACTGGTCAAGAATGTCGCGGATGGGCTAACGTTTGAACAAACCAAAGAAATGAGGAACAGAGGCCTGAATGCTCATCCACTGATGAAGCTGAGTGAGTGACTTGTGTTGATCTGCTTCCGTGCTTCCTGTATTTGGTTTCATGATGATGTCTGATTGATTCGGTTTATGTTTCCAGCCAGGAATGGAGTGTACGCGAATGTAGCAGATAGGGTGAGGGAGGCATTTGCGACGGAAGACGTTGTGAGGCTTGATTGCACTCATGTGGGTACCAGTGACTGCAAAAGGATTGGTGTAAAGCTTAGGGTGAGACTGGTTCCTTTTCTTTTAGGAGACGAGGTTATGACGGTTTTGTTTAAGCGAAGTAACTCGTTGCTGCTTACTGAGGGTTTTTCTTCCCCATGTCTTGCAATGCAGGATTTGGTACCTTGTGTGCCAATTTTGGTCAAGGATGAACAGATTATACTCTGGAGGGGAACGATTGAGAATGAGCAGAGACATGACTCTCCACCTGTTTTAGCAGAGCCTTCTGATTGTTGACATTGAAAGACAGCACTTCTGGTTTCTGACTCAGTGATCTGCTCCCATTTCATGTAACTGATGAGCCGAATTACAGCGATGTATACGTACGTTTATCCAAGACAATTTTTGGATTGGGATGCAAATTTCTATGTATACATTATAAACAAGGGGCAGTTGTTACTGCGACATGGTTTTCCCCTTGCAAGGTTGTGAATTCAGATATCTTTGTAGAACATTCAACAGCACAATGAGCCAGGGTGTGTTCTTCCGACCAACCTAAGCCATTCAGCCTACAGGTCCAGAATGAGTGAAACAACAATTATAATAACAAAATGTATGCTGTTGTTGTTCAGGAAAGCTAACCTGCAGCATGTGGTACAGATCGGAGTGTTCATCAAAATCAGCACACGAAATAGGCATAACAATATGAGCTTCTGCAACTACGAAAGAATATTAAAGATTTTGAACTCGATTCACTCTCTTCATATGGTATCTTCCCTCTGGTGTAAAAGGATGCAAAACCATCCATCAAAAGTGGAATGGTTTCCCTTTTTCATGGTTTCCTTGTGTCACCATCCATGACCTTGAATTGGCTAATTGCTCGACCAGCTCACCAAAAGTATCCCAACGAGTGCTGCATGTAATGAGTAACGGCCACAACAATACAATTGATTTTGCAATTGCAAAAAACATGCTATCTGTTCTTATAATTGAAAATGCGAAATCAATATAAATACTCTTATGTTTCTTTATCATCGAGAATGCACATTCATAAGAAGCGGGCTGCAACAATCGAATAATATTTACGTTTTTCTTTCTTTTTTTGGTGCTTAAGTCACTAGACAAACTCACTCAATCCTAGACATGAAACTTAAAGATATAAGCTGATGACATGCAAATATGGAAGATATTAGGTGAAGCTGATGACATGCAAATATGGAAGATAAAAAGACGCCAGTAGTACACTATCACGAGAGAATCAGACAAAATTTAGAGTCCAAGAATATTTCACTAGTTTAAATTTCTTTATTTTCATTTTTAGGCATTTAATTAAGTGGATAAAATCATTATTTCACTAAAGCTTAGTAGCATACGATCATGAGAAGTTGGTAATAACAAGAACTTAAAGATTTAGTTTATCTTTCCTTTTTTTAGCTGCTTAATTTAGATGACAGACTCACTAAAATACAACTTAAAGATATATTGTAGAGATAAAATCACACATGAGAAGCGGGCAAGAATAAGAATCTAACAATACTTACTAAATTATATTTACCCCCATTTTTTAGGTGTTTAATTCAGTTGACAAACTCACTAATTCATGAAACATTGAACTTAAATATATTGAGTTAAACTAACGACATGAAGAAGATTTGTCTAATTTATGTTTCATTTTTCTTTGATGCGTTGGATAAAATCACTCATTCCTCAAACATGAAACCTAAACAAATTCATAAAAAACAACAACAACAAAAACTAAACAACAATTATCTCAATTGTAAGATTCTCACTCTAGTAAGTTATCTTATTTTTAAAGAACAATAGCAATTGAGATTCAACCATCTGAATTATAAATTGAAGTTCTAACTTACTATTAAGCTTCCTATCAACTACCAAACTAAGTAAAACTTGTGTATGAGTACTTTCGGAGATGGAGCTACATTATTCTCCCACATAGCCACTCAATCAATGAAGTATTTCCTTTTATTCACATTATTCCTGATCACATATATCTTAATATGTATTTTAGGTAATCGATCATGTGTTGTTTCTGTCCATTACTTCAAATATATGATCGGACACTAGATTTACTTGATTAAGTTTTTCTCAAAAGTCTTGGTAATCCTTGATACATTTGAAAGTTATGGCACAAAATAGGTACACAATTTTAGAAGTTTGGCATTTGGCACCCACATTAACATATTGAAAAATAATAATTTAAAGATAAAAAAAATATAAAATACCAAATTATCGATTAAATATTTAGTATATATATATAATAACCTTATTATTTGCATGCTTAGTCCTTAATTAGTAAAGACCAAGGACAATTGATGATTGCACACAATCTTATAGTTTATTTTCACAATGCATACTCATTATGTCTAATGGTTCCTTCCAATGCTACACTTTTGAATTCGCTAGATGGCTTCGCAAATTATGAAGTCGGTGACAAATAATTTGAAGTTGACAATACTAGTCTCTACATCTGCCTCTGATTCGAGTCCCTACATGTACATCTCATGGGTGCTAGTATGGGATTTTGGTCACCACTGTCAAATCATCGAGCACTTGAGCATCAACCGTCCTTATGTCAAGATGCCATTTGGATATTTAGAATATTACAAAAATATCTCGCCATACGTTAGAGTTTCTATTTTATCAAATAAACACATTATCAATCTTGTCTGCTGATGAATTTCCTTACTTTAGTGCGTAAACCACACATCTTAGACGATTGAAATTCTTGGAGCATCATGGACATGAAAGGTTCCTTGTCTGGTTCATACCCACACTATAGTATCTCATTCACCAATATGGTCATAACTCAAATAGGCATAGACTGCAAAGCTTCCAGTATCTTTCGCCGTTTGGTTAACATTGCATAAACAAGATGATCATATCGTTCACCAATATGGTGAATAGTCCAGCTTGCTACAATTAGACTTCAATCTATTGCTAAGCTAATCTTAGCCCAAGGGGGTTGTCGTATCACTTTTCTTATGGTCCTCACTCCTCACATAGTTACTTTAGTATACTACTCGACCAAAAAATTATTCAATAGGCTAAAGTATAAAAGGAACACACTATAATATTAATCATCATACTAATTAAACATTATTTAGGTTTCCAAGAAAACTTTCAGCACGTGCGTCAACACACAAGATATTAAACGCACTACATACAATTATAACCCACCATAATTCTTCGTTATCCCTGACATAATTAACTCAAAACCACTCTACGGATATATGAAAATTAAGCCGAGGCAAGCTACATCCTGTACAAGAGACGGACACCAATAGAAACACCATCGGCAACAAAGAAGCGATCCAAGGTGAGAGAATCGTCCATAAATTGGTCATGCCGCCATGGAACTCCAAATAAAACATGTGGTTGTAATGACACCATCCACTGTCATAAATATGTGTTCCTTAGATAGCTTGTGAAGAAGTCCATAAACTTTGTCATCATGTCTTTGATAAGTAAACCATTGGCTAGAATAGGAAGGATCCTCTCATATATTAGTTAAACCTTCCTCCGCTTGTACTTCTTGCACATCCAATTGGGACGATCACTTTACCAGAAATCTTGATTAATCCTTCTTCCGCGAAAGATACATTCGTGAAGTGGTTGAGATGTTCATGAAAGTGGAAACACCAGGTTGGTGACTGTCACCTCCGGTCCAAAAGAATACACTCAATTTATCATATCCTCTTGTCAACACTGAACCTTAAGTTATCAGCGTTCTCCTTGTCAAAACTGAACCCTAACGTGTACGTATTTCTCGGGTTGCTTAGACATGAATCCATTATGTGTGATTGTAGTAGCATTCCCTATTTTTCAAATATGTCCAACTACCTAACAATCTACAAGTTACCGCATACCCAAACTTCAAGGAGATGTGTGAAATTTTGTGGTATATACTCTCATTATTTACATAGTATTTATATCATGTAAAAGTTATAACATATATTGCTTGAAAATGCACATAATTAAAATGAGCAACACTTGCAAAGGTTTCAGCTTTTAATTAAGTCTTGTGTCATTTCGAGATCAAATAAAATACGATAGCCTAACTTGTTTCACACTCATAGCTCCCATCTCCTCCCCGACTGCCTTTCTTTATCTTCTGTCCCGTCGGTTGGGGTGTTTTTCTGCTCTATGACTTTTGTTTGACTTAGGCGTCCTCTTTGCATAGAAAGGAGAGATTCAGTGAGTGAGTTGGGGATATCAAGGCATTTCTCCACCACATGTTTTACCTAACTCCTCCATCCCACTTTTTCTTTTTTACCAACCAGGTTAGTCAAGAGCAGAGAGGGCCAGAAGCAAATCTATTGAACATCTCATCTCATCTCTTGCCCTCCTCTCTCGCTCTATCTCTCATCTCGGAACCGAGATTGTTGCGAAGATGGTCTCTCTCTTCCTCTTCTCACACATTTCTTTCTATGTTCTCTCAAACCGCCGCTCTGAGCGATCACCGAGGTAGTTCTTTTGGCCTTTTCTTAGGGTTCTCATGAAAAATCTGTTGAGGATATGATTGTGGTTGCTGAAAGGGTGTTTATGATATCTTCTTACATGTTTGTTCATCGTTTTTGGCCTCTCCGTGGAATAGAAGTGCTCAACCTCAGCAGAATTCCTTCTCCGGTAGCTTCCTCTCTGCAGAGCTCAAAAAATCGTGAAATCTAGGGTTTAATCTGCAAGCCGATTAAATAGGCCAAGAAACGGGGCGGGTAGAAGTAAAAATAACCCGTATATCCGAACTGAGTAAAAGTTATGACCTGAAATTTTAAAAAAATATCAGAAAATATGAATATTGAGATAAAACCGAATTGATTGACAAAAGAGATAAATGAGTAAAAGGATACCTTAAGCGGATGATTTTGATGCCAAATAAATATTACAGCAACCGCATTGAATAAACCACGCGAAACCATCTGTTGGAATAATCGCGGGCGGTCGCTGATGGTGGATCCAGGTCGGTTGCATTATTAATCTCGGGAAGACTCCAGGCAAGAAACCGAACAAAAATAAAAATCTAGAGAGGAGATGGGTGTTAGTAATTAAGAGTATTGTAAGCTTACTTCTAGAGTCATAATCCACCTGAATCTTCAACGAATAGACGAATACCAGTGAAGGATAAGTATTTACTCTTGATAATGATAAATCACCCCTAAAGATATTTTAAAGATATTTATGTTTATTATCAATACTTGTGTTTCCCTTTATCCATTGTAACATAAGGTAACCATGTACAGCAGTCGTATTGTATTTTTTGTAGTATGAATTAACAAATTAATGAGAGATAAACACACAACATTAACAATCGGATTTTGATGGAATATTCTAAGTATATCTTATGATTAGTGCCTACTATGACATAGTAATAGCTTGTGTTGCTTGTGATGTTTTAGTTGTTTCAAATCATAGATTAATTCTTAAAGATACTATGTTAATTACCTCAAATTGTAAAGAATGTAATAATGTATATCTATCTTATTGTATATTTTGTAGTATAAATTAACAATATTAATGAGAGAAAAACAAACAACATTAACGATGGAGTTTGACCGTATATTGAAATTCTGAGTATATCTTGTAGTTAGTGTTTAATCTAATCTAGTAACAATGTGTGTTAGTTTTAATGCTATCACATTTCTGAATTAGATATACTCAGAATCTAATCTAGTAACAATGTGTGTTAGTTTTAATGTTGTCACATTTCCGAATTAGATATTAGGAGACGAAGAAGTAGTAGAGATAAAATTAGTCAGTAGCCTTGGGTGGTCTTAGTACATTTTATAGTATTTTTTTCTTAATTTTTTTTAATAATAAACCAATAGACCTGTCAAACAAAGGTAATTCATGTTATTCTATGTCCAATTGTAAAACCATTTAATTCTCCCTGAACTGCCCAAGCAAATGAACCAAACCACTATTATGATCGGTTTTACGATTCCTTACCTTGCCATGTCCGCTAGAACTTTTTGTCCAACGTACAGCAGTGGAGTTAAATGATATATGTGGAACCAAAAATGGGAAAAGACAAACATTCGTAGTGTCAATGTGTTGGTGTTGGTTTTAATTTCAAAGAAGGCCTACCAACACAAAACTACAGACTACAAGTTACTATTGGAAAGACAGATCGAAATAGTCTTATAACAAAATGAAAGATAAAATTGAATGGTGTTTGATGGACAAATTGTCCATTTTGTTTCCAACTTTGCTGGTCACCGAGAGGCGTCGGCGACACCCTTTAAAATCTCAAGAGTTAAAGCAAGAGAGAAGGGGGAAGATCGATAAATGAGAAAACTATATAGCCATCAAAACACATGAAACCAAAACATTTTTTTTCATTGAAACTGATTTTTTCTGAGCAGTGTGACAACCGACTAAACTACATAATTTTACACAACAATTAGATCAAATTCACGATCCAGTCTTCGATCATACTTCTTTCCCGTTCAAATACACCCGACTTCTCTGTGCCTTGACATGATAAAGCCCACGATTCTAATGGTTTCTTCCCCAACGGCATTCGAGATAATCATGTGTAAGCATCTGACATGCATGATAATCCTTCACCCTCGTCGTCGAATCAATTTCTGCAGATAAAACATCCTTCCATGGTTAAAAGTATGACCAGTTTAGAGAACAATAAACACAAAGGGCGCTCGTTAGGTTCATACACACAACTTCCAGGCAAGTAGTAGGTCCAGTAGCTGTATTTCCAACATGGCCAGAACACTAAGCACAATGTGGTCAAGAATGAATGGCTTACCATCTCCAACCGAGATATGCTTTAGGTGGAAAATGGTCTTTTGAGCATAGTGATACCATGAGTGACTCATCGGCTGATACAACATTTGGTTCACAGTCAGTAGCCAATATGAACATTGTTCGACCCTTAATGTATGTTATTCTCTATAAAATAAATATCTCGAAACCAGAATGTCCAGAGGGACACAAACCCGAAATTTGAGAGGTATGGCAGAAAAGTAGAAGACATAGTGCATAGAGAATAAAGGTTAGGAGGGGCTTAGTCAAGTGACTAAGGATCCCCCTCTTAGTCATGGGATCTGGCCCCTCGGTCCACCGTGGTGTCAGTGCCCTATGTTTTCATAGCAACAAACTTGTTTGAAATCTGTTGCAAAGTATGCAACGATGCTTGTCTATCTCTAATCATCGATTACCTGATGTTTGAAGGGAAAGGTAGAGATATTCTACCACTGTGGAGACTGGACCATGAGGTTGCGCTGCTGTTGAGAGCGTTCGTAACCGAATTCAACGCGGCCTATAAGTTTTTTTTCTCTATCCGTACTTTATCGTTGTTTAAGCATATACTAAATCTAGATTGTTGAGGATAAACTATTAATGTGAGCCAGAGACTGAAGCTTTGAAAAAGACAACTATAACTCAATAGTTATTAGCTCGGTAAGACTGCAAGGAACAAAAGACGTTCCCAGCATACTATCAAGTGCGTCAACGACCGAGTTATGCCCCTAAATGATGGTAGCTAATACAAACGCAACATATTGTAACCCAAATTATTATCTTACACTTTTACTCTATACATGACTACCTTGGTTTTTATATGCGACGAAGATTGACTGTTAAGCCCACTACATCTCCATAAAAGGCATAATTGTCGGAATTATATGTGCATTTCTAATATACAAAGTATGTCAACTTTATTACCATAACCGATTGGAACGACAACACTAAAGGGCTAGATTTAGATGACCAAATCATGCGTGGACATGTTATGGGATGAAAAATTAGTATAAATAAATTCCTATTGAAGTTCTTGACTTTTCGTACGAGTTCAATTGATACGATGGATTTGTAACACTTTCCCAACATATAAAATTTTAACACTTATCGACCCATTTGAAAGTTCTCGAAAGAAAGTTATTTGTCTCCATTACAACCTTTCTCTCTATTACAACCAAGCAAACAAGACCGACGAATGTTTTAAGTATTGATATACCATCTGATTTAGATCGAAAAAGCTTTTACTCGTATTAATTTTCCGTCTAACAGGCTGGGTCCAAACTAGTTCCACCAAGGTGTCTGTCTCCACCTTTTCTTCTTCCTCCTCCGACCCGTCCCCCCCCCCCCCCCATTCCACAAAGAAAATAGAGAAGTCATGAAAATGAGAGGATGAATAGCGCGCTCTGTTGATGTGAAGGAAGTTCGACATATCGGTCAAAACTGTTCCGAGCGATCATTGTTCGGACCGAAATGAACCAAACCGTAATGTAATTCGGCTCTGAATCGATTGCGTATTTATGCTCTTCCCGACTGATTTTAATCATGTTTGATTCGGTTTCTCTCGTAACCGAACCGAGTACCAACCACTAACCCAGCCCACTAACTTGTTAACCCACGGGTAGTGATGGCAATGGGGCGGGCGGGGTGGGTACCTCAATTCCCATGCCCCGCTCCACGCTACTACGGGTCGGGGCGGGTAAAACCCGCGCGGGTACGTGGCGGGGCAGGTCGACCCACTCTTACATGTTGTTCAAAAAAAATACAAGTAAATTTTACTTTTTACAATAAAACGTAGGGGAAAACACTTTAAGAATGAAAAATATTGATAATAGAATGGATAATTGAGCCTAATAAGTTGAAAAATCGACTATAACTAGTTAAAGAAGAGTCAAAATAGGATAAATATGTATAGATATTGTAAAAAATTGAGATAAAATGAGTCTAGAACGGGGCAGGACGGGGCAGGGCGGGTCAGAAGTAAATACACATGCCCCGCCCCACGCTACTGCGGGTCTGATAATACCCGCCCCATCGCGGATCATGTCAGGTAATACTCGCGGGACGGGTTGAAATTGCTATCACTACCACGGGCCACGTCTTTATCCCTTATCTGTCGTTAGTACTACTCCAACCCATTAACCAATCAACGTATTCCACGCGTGACGCGTCCCCCGACAACCGATTCTTCCCCGTATATAGTTTCGTCATCTTCTCCTCGCCGTCTCGGTCGACTTCAAACCTTTTCGCCCCTTTCTCTCCTCTGCGATTAGGGTTTCCCTAATCTGTTTCGTTACGCCTAGATCTCGCCCTTCCTTCCGATTAAAGGCTATACGCTTCTCCGCCCTTCGCCCACCTGGAAAACATGATGCAGCAGCCGGGAGCTGGAGTCGCACCTCAGATGGCTGCGTCGGATCCGCAGTATCAGCAGCAACAGTGGATGATGCAGCAACAGCAACAGCACCATCCGGTTCCTCCTCCGGCCGGATGGACTCCGCCACCTGTCCCGCCGCCGACTCAGTACGGTGTTCCCCAGCCCGCTGGTGCTGGTGCGGGGGCTGATGAGATCAAATCGTTGTGGATTGGGGATCTGCAGCCGTGGATGGACGAGACTTATCTTATTAGCACCTTTTCTGGCACTGGAGAGGTACTTCTATCTGGGTCCCCATAATAATTCGATTGCTGGTATGTAGTGTGGGGATTGGTAATTGCGGTAAACAATCACCCTGATAGGGAAAAAAAAAATAATTCGATGGTATTTCCATTGGGTATGCGGACAAAACTGCTACTGACTACCTTTTCACTTTGGTTCGAAAGGTTGAATGTGGATGCCATTTTCCCTGAACCAAAGAGAGTTGGGTTGATTGTTGATATCAGTTACCGTGAGAATGACTGAATGAGAATCACAAATTCTTTGTCAAATATTTGCGTGATTGTTAATTGGGCTCTCCGGTTGTTTGAATTTGTTTCTAGTATGGCTTTCTGCAGTTGGCAAATGGAATTGTTGTGTTTTCCCCTGTTCTCGCAGTTGTAAGGTTGGGAACATTGAAATCTCCCGTTGATCATTAGTTTCTTTTGATATTATGCTTATGCAGGTTGTTTCTACTAAGGTTATCCGCAACAAGCAAACAAATTTGCCTGAGGGATATGGCTTTATAGAGTTTGTCAGTCATGCAGCTGCCGAGAGGATCTTGCAGACTTACAACGGGACCCCAATGCCAAACTGTGAGCAGAGTTTCCGGATGAATTGGGCTACCCTGGGTGCTGGTGAGAGGCGTCAGGATGATGGTCCGGAATATACCATTTTTGTTGGAGATTTGGCAGCTGATGTGAATGATTACCTGCTTCAAGAGACATTTAAGAATGTGTACTCCTCTGTGAAAGGGGCAAAAGTTGTCACTGATAGGGCCACTGGACGTTCCAAGGGATATGGTTTTGTGAGGTTTGGTGAGGAGGGTGACCAAATGCGGGCAATGGTTGAGATGAACGGCCAGTACTGCTCCAGTAGGCCCATGCGGATTGGCCCTGCTGCTTCAAAGAAACCTGTTGCCCAACAATTTCAAACTGGTATGTTACGTGATATGCAAATGGCTTGATTGGTTACTTTGCAAAGTTTTCCTTGTTGATAAGTATTCCTATTTGATTTTGATTGTTTATTTGTGGCAATATTACACTCTGCTTTCCTTGTTTTTTAGACTCGATGTTGCACTGGATGAATGCTCATGGGTTATTCCTTTTAGATTTGCCTTGATATTCTCGAAGTCTTCTCAATTACCAGTCCTTACAGTTATGCACTTGAGGATAGATGCAATATGAAAGTCATTTCCTTCCAGTTGTAAGATTGGGCGCATTTAGCTTGGTTAAAACATGCAAAAACTTATATGAAACTATGTTGTCTTAAAGCAGGACACCGAGAGGCTCTCATTTTCGGGGGCCTGGAACTGATTTCAGCTGAAATGATTCCACTTAAATGCGTGGCCTCATTTTAGGTCAGTTGTTTTGATTATGTCCCTAAATTAATTAATTTTCCCGTAGCATTTTGCTACATTCCCGAATTACTTTCCAGCTCCTAATTTGCCGAGAATTTTAGGTCAAGGTTTAAGCTTACTCCTTTCCAAGCATTGGTTTATTCCCTTCGTGCAATCTCCTTTCTTCTTCTCGTTGCTTCAGTTATTTTACTTTCATTTTGTCACCAGTTTTTTTTTTAAATTTGCCTCGCATCTTACTTAGAAGAGTGTGAGAAGTATATATTTCCTGGTCACAAATGTCCAAACCCATGAATTAATATTGGAGATAGTTGATGGTTTATATTTGGTACCATTGCAGCTCATGTTCTTGTTACTGCTTACTACATGCTGATATATCCTTTTGTGAGAGCAACAACAAAGCCTTTGCCCTTTATTGTTATGATAGGATCTACGTGTTTCGCATCTTGCAAGATCTTAGTGCCATGAGTATCCCTCAGCACTACTCCATGCCATGAGTTGTTTTTTCCCCAGCATCCAATTTAATCCTTCCCATTCTTGTTACTGATGGCATGTATTGTTAGAGAGCTAAGGGAAGTAGGTTTAATCAGTAATTTTATGTTTGAGATTTGCATTGTATAGAATTGGGCTACTGCATCCATGTGTTTTCTTCATTCACCTTTTCTGCACTATAATTCACAGAATGGTTGCCATCAGTTGAGATTCTGTCTTTGCAACAATGAAGAAAGCTACCCATGTTTAAACTGTATGGCACATGGGGGAAGATAGAGATTGGGCTAGGAATAACCCCCAGATGATCCTTCCTACTCAAGCCATCTCTTTTGATGGCTTTATACATGGACTGATTCTCGTTTTAGAGCATTATCTTCTTGGTTACAGATTCCATAATGTTGCTATGTGTAAAGATTTGTTCCAAATTGATGGATGTTGGCAAAAGCTACTTGCAAAGCTTATAGTATGCATTTTAAGTGGTTTGTATTGCCCTGTTGATGTTACGGCTGTGGTTTTGTGTGGGGTCTTTCTATCAGTTGTAGAAGTATTTTAATCTGACTGGGAAATCATGTTGGTGTGGTAGTCGTTACTATCCATTGAACTACCTTATTCAGGTGAGGCCTTGGCCAGCTGTGTGTTTTTTCGGTATACTATGTTCATGTGCGAGGTTTTTTTTTCCACTTTTCAGTTCTCTGTTGTTAAATGTTGTCGTTTTCTCCATATGTTCTTGTATTATAGCTAATCATTCCCCCTGCTTTATATATGAAGGTTGTGCTTTAATGTGAAATTGTAGTTGTATGATTGTTACCCTAGGTGCCTGAATGCTATCCCTTTGAGGTCATCTATTAGTTTACGTATATTTGCCATTTGCAGCTACTTACCAGAATGCTCAAGGGAGTCAGGGCGAGATGGATCCAAATAACACTACTGTGGGTAGCTTTTTTTAGTTCCTGTTTGTACCAGTGTTAGTGGACAATGGCATATGAATCCTTGCGGTTGTCTTGCAGATATTTGTTGGTGCTCTGGATCCCAGTGTATCAGATGATGTTTTGAGATCAGTATTTGGTAAATATGGTGAGTTAGTCCATGTGAAAATTCCTCCTGGGAAGCGTTGTGGATTTGTTCAGTTTGCTAATAGGTAAATATCATGATTGCTACACCCTTTAACGCCATCTGCTGAATTCCGTGTTCTGATGTTCTGTTATCCTTGTCTCTAGATCCTCTGCAGAGCAAGCACTACAGATGTTGAATGGAACTCAGTTAGCCGGACAGAGTATCCGACTATCTTGGGGACGTAGCCCGTCAAACAAGCAGGTTAATAAATGCCTTCAATTCTTGCGTTTTACTTGATTCAGTCATTCCGCTGGCATTAGTTGCAATAATAGTTAATTTAATATGGTGCCTTGACATACGAATTAAATACGGCTTTAGTATGTGTCCTAAAGAATGTTGAAAATGAGATGGTTCAGTAATAGTATGATAGCTTAAGTTTTTTATGCATAAATACGTACATATATACAAGCAGTAGAATGGTATAAATTGCATTTTAACTAACCATGGTTACAATCATTGATATTTCCCAGGCTCAACCAGAGCAGAACCAGTGGAACGGCGGTGGTGGATATTACGGATATGCTCAAGGATATGATGCAGCAGCAGCTTATGGTTATGCAGCCGCTCCACAAGATCCTAGCATGTACTACGGAGGTTATCCTGGCTATGGAAACTACCAGCAGCCAGGAGCTTACCAACAGCCGGGACAGGTTTATCAGCAGCCACAGCAGGTATAGTAGGCTTTGCTGCTTTAGTTTCTTGCTCTGGCTTAGCGTTCCTTTGTCTGGTCGGTTATATAACTCGTATTTCACTTTCGCAGTGATTTCTAAACCACCGTTTGGCATCCATTGCCAAACTCAGAGCAGAGAGGACCAGCTCGGGGGCTTTGCCGTGGCTATGGATGTGAGGTCCTTGCGTTTCGCCAATCGACAGTGTCCCCATTGGGTTGGCGCTGGGCTATCAGGTTTCTATTAGAGGTTGTTAGGTTTTTTACAACTATGATCAGTGTACTGTGCAGATACTGTGTTGTAATGCCGTGATGTTTGTGGAGGTTGTGTACTGCCCCCTAAATGATTGTTTACTTTCTACTTTGTGGAATTCTGTTTAACTGTATCAATGTCTATCATGGCATGTCTTCATACTCCTAGCAAATTGGTAATCATGCTCCTTTCTCATTCTTCAAATTGATGTAGTGAGGTTTCTGATCGCCAATCTCATGAACTAAATTGAAGATGTGGAATGTTGATTGGTGCCGAAAGTTGAGGAACTGTGGTCTTCTTAAGATCAATGAGTTTATGCATGGTAACAGTTTTCCCTGTTTGTCGATTTAGCGAGCATTTGTAAGGTTGCAGCGCAATGTATCACAAGGAAAATAAGTCGAATGCAGCTAAGGTGCAAGCAATAAAATTCTTTGGTACTTTTCCCTTTGTCTATGGCATCTTGGACTTGAGAAGCATATCATAACACGAAATGTGAAACACTAGCAACATCGATAAAATTATTGATGGTTACACGCGGAACGAAAAGAATGAGAAAAACACACGGCAGGATTCCTTTCACAAAAGCCAGCCACAATCTTAACCAGAGTTACAAAGTTGCCTATCTGTTATTGGTGCATGGCGTCCAATAGCTTCAGTTCCAGAGCTTCTTGCTCTGCTAGAGAAATGGAGTCGTCTACTACACTTTATTTCTTTCCTCTAGTTTCACCATCATCATCATCATTACCGCAATATATTCTATTCAGTATGGTTTGGTCTGATTCGGTCTATTACGGACCAAACGGTGCACACCCCTATCCATACCTAAGAAAAAAAAGGTTTCTAGCGTCTCAATCCCCAACCACCATGTCCCCCTACGACGATCACAGTCCTTTCACTACTGGCGTTGGACTCCTAGCCCACCACTAGTGACCTACCACCGCTAGTTGTGACTAGCAATCCCACCAAGTTGTCCGTCTCCACCTCTTCTTCTTCCTCCTCCTCCTCCGACGCACCACCTTATCGCCATAGAGAAAGTATAGAAGTAGTGAAAATGAGAGGACGAAGAGTGCGCTCTGTTGATGTGAAGGATGTTCGGCTAATTGATCAAAACTGTTCTGAACCCAGCATTGCTCGTTAGGGGTGACATTAGGTTCGGTTTTACCAAACCGAACCGAATAAAAACCGACCGAAACCAAAGTAATTGTAATTAGGTTCGAAATTCGGCTGTAAATATGGGAAATTTCGGAAATCAGGTTCGTTTGAACCGAACCGAAATTCCGAATAACCGACCGAATTCCGAAAATATTAACCCACTGCCTGAATGTCTCGGCCCAATACTGGAGGCCCAGCCTTCTTTTTTCAGCCCACTCCGCCCTAGTCCAACAAATTGGATTGGGCTTCCTGGGCCCTGGGCGGCTAGGCCTGCTCCCCTTGCAGACTTCAAGTCACTCGACCTAGTACCCACCGTCGTTTGCGAGCTAACCCTAGGCGCCTATCGAATTGATGAAATCGCGACAAAGGGAAAGGGAAGTTGAACTGGCCACTGGGGAACTGTCCGATTCCGACGCACTTGCAGCGCCGAGTGCGACTCCTCCTCCACTGCCCGAGCACGGCGACGTCGACGGCCCGACCTGAGAGAGGCTGCTTCGTCTTCCTCTCGAGTCGACTCGATCCTCACCCTCGCCGCTTGCCGCCAGGCACCGGTCTCCAGCTCTCCGCCAGGCACCCAGGCAAGCACTTGCCGGCCGCCGAGTCTCCTCCCGACGTCGACGCCACTGAATTGTGAAATGGCAGCAGTAAGCAGGAGGCCCCATGCCAAATTTCCAGTTCCAGAAGGCAGCACAGCAGGCAAAAACGGGGTAGCACTCAGCAGCTATGTTTTTCCGGTTTTGGGCATTCGAACCGAATTATAGATCGGTTCGAATTCGGTTGGGGCGTTGGACATATCGAAAAATCGGGATGTACTGGTTCGGTTCAGTTCAAACCGAACCAACCGAATGCTCGTATCGAAATTAATCAAACCAAAATGCAATTCGGCTCGAAATTGATTGCATATTTATGCTCTTCCGGTTGATTTTAATCATATGTTTGGTTCGGTTTTCGAGGGAGTCGGACCGAGTACCAACCGCTAATCCAGCCCACAAACTTGTAAGCCCACGTCCTTATCCCTTATCTGCCGCCGTTAGCACTACCCCAACCCACTAACCAATCAACGCATTCCACGCGTGATGCGTACCCCGACAACCAATTCTTCCCCGTATAAATCAAAGCATCGTCATCTTCTCCTCGCAGTCTCGGTCTCCTTCAAACATTTTCGCCCCTTTCTCTCCTCTGGGATTAGGGTTTCCTAATCTGTTTCGATACTCGTAGATCTCGCCCTTCCTTCCGATTAAAGGCTATACGCTTCTCCGCCCTTCGCCCCACCTGGAAAACATGATGCAGCAGCCGGGAGCTGGAGTCGCACCTCAGATGGCTGCGTCGGATCCGCAGTATCAGCAGCAACAGTGGATGATGCAGCAACAGCAACAGCACCATCCGGTTCCTCCTCCGGCCGGATGGACTCCGCCACCTGTCCCTCCGCCGACGCAGTACGGTCTTCCCCAGTCCGCTGGTGCGGGTGCGGGGGCTGACGATATCAAGTCGTTGTGGATTGGGGATTTGCAGCCATGGATGGACGAGACTTACCTTATTAGCACCTTTTCTGGCACTGGAGAGGTACTTCCATCTGGGTCCCCATAATAATTAGATTGCCTTTAGGTTGACCTACGGGTAGTGTGTGGTGATTGGTAATTGAGGTAAACAATCATACTGACTGGAGAATATAATTGGATGGTTTTTGCATTGGGCGTGCGGGCAAAAAATGATACTGGCTACCTTTTCACTTTGGTTAATAAGCTTGATTGTGAATGCCATTTCCCGTTGAACCAAAGAGATGTGGGTTGATTGTTCATATATGCTACCGTGAGAATCAGAATCTAGAGTAAAAAATTTGCGTAATTGCTATGTAGGCTCTTCGATCGTTTGAATTTGTTTTTCTAGTGTGGCTATCTGCAGTTGGCAAATTGAATTGTTGTGTTTTCCCCTGTTCTCGCAGTTGTAAAGTTGGGAACATTTAAGTCTGTCGTTGCTCATTAGTTTCTTGTGATGTTATGCTTATGCAGGTTGTTTCTGCTAAGGTTATCCGCAACAAGCAAACAAATTTGCCTGAGGGATATGGCTTTATAGAGTTTGTCAGTCATGCAGCAGCCGAGAGGATCTTGCAGACTTACAACGGGACCCCAATGCCAAACTGTGAGCAGAGTTTCCGGATGAATTGGGCTACGCTGGGTGCTGGTGAGAGGCGTCAGGATGATGGTCCGGAATATACCATTTTTGTTGGAGATTTGGCAGCTGATGTGAATGATTACCTGCTTCAGGAGACATTTAAGAATGTGTACTCCTCTGTGAAAGGGGCAAAAGTTGTCACTGATAGGGCCACTGGACGTTCCAAGGGATATGGGTTTGTGAGGTTTGGTGAGGAGGGTGACCAAATGCGGGCAATGGTTGAGATGAACGGCCAATACTGCTCCAGTAGGCCCATGCGGATTGGCCCTGCTGCTTCAAAAAAACCTGTTGGCCAGCAATTTCAAACTGGTATGTTACATGTTATATGCAAATGGCTTGATTGGTAAATGTGCAAAGTGTTCCTTGTTGATAAGTATCCGTATTTGATTTTGATTGTTTATTTATGTGGCAATATTACGCTCTGCTTTCCTTGTTTTTTAGACTCGGTGTTGCACTGGATGAATGCTCATGGGTTATGCCTTTTAGATTTGCCTTGATATTCTCGAAGTCTTCTCGATTACCAGTCCTTTCAGTTATGCACTTGAGGATAGAAGCAATATGAAAAGTCATTTCCTTCCAGTTGTAAGACTGGGCACATTTAGCTAAAACATGCAAAAACTTATATAAAACTATGTTGTCTTAAAGCAGGACACCGAGAGGCTCTCTTTTTCGGGGGCCTGGAACTGATTTCAGCTGAAATGATACCACTTAAATGCGTGGCCTCATTTTAGGTCAGTGGTTTTGTTCATGTCCGTAAATTAATTAAATTTCCTGTGGCATTTTGCTACATTCCCGAATTACTTTCCAGCACCTAATTTTCCCAGATTTTTTGGTCGAAGTTTAAGTTTACGCCTTTCCAAGCATCAATTTGTTCCTTTTATGCAAGATCCTTTCTTCTTCCCCTTGCTTCAATTATTTTTTAATACTTCCATTTTGTCACTTTTTCTTATAGTTTGCCTCATATCGTACCTAGCGGAGTTTGGGTAGTAAATTTCCTGGTCACAAATGTCCGAACCCATGAATTAATTGGAGAGAGTTGATGGTTTAGATGTGGTATCATTGCAGTTCATCTGCTTGCTTGTTACTACATAGTACATTCTGATATATCCTTTTGTGATAGCACCAACAAAGCCTGTGTTCTCTATCTTTAAGATATTATCTACATGTGTTGCATCTTGTGAGATCTGAGTGCCATGAGTATCCCTCAGCAGTATTCCATGTCATGAGTTGTTTTTTCCCCAGCATCTAATCAAATCCTCCCATTGTTTTACTGATGGTATGTATTGTTAGAGAGCTATAAGTAAATAAGTTTTTTTAATCTGTAAATTTTCGTTTAGATTTGCATTGTGATGAATTGGGTCACTGTGTTCAAGTTGTTTTCTTCATTCACCTGCTCTGCGCTATAATTCACAGAATGGTTGTCATCAGTTGGTATTCTGTTTTGCAATGATGAAGGGAGCTACCCATGTTTGAACTGTCTGACACATGGGGGAAGGTAGACATTGGGCTAGGAATATCATCAGACGATCCTTCGTAATCAAGCTATCTCTTTTGAGGCCTTTATACATGGAACTAATTTTCGTTTTAGGGCATTATCTTCTTGGGCTAGGAATGCCCCCAGATGATCCTTCCTACTCAAGCCATCTGTTTTGATGCCTTGATACATGTAATTCTCGGTTTTGGGCATTATTTTCTTGGTTACTGATTCCATAATGTTGCTATGTGTAAAGATTTGTTGCAAATTGATGGATGTCAGGCTGTCAGCAAAAGCTACTTGCAAAGCTTATTGTACGCAGTTTGAGTGGTTTGTATTGCCCTGTCGATATTACAGCCATGGTCTTTTTGTGCGGGAGTTTCTGTCACTGGTAGAAGTATTTTAATCGAATTGAGCAAATTCATGATGGTGTGGATGTCGATTCTATCCATAGAACCACTTTTTCAAGTGAGACCCTTGCGGGCTGCGTGTTTCTTGGTATAGTATGTTCATGTGCGAGGTTGTTTCCCATTTTTCTGTTATTGAATGTTGTTGTCCCTGCTTTATGCATGTGGTAGTTGTGCTTTAAAATCAAAGTTGCGTGATTGTTATCCTAGCTGCCTGAATGCTAGCTCTGTGAGGTCATCTATTAGTTTACGCATATTTGTCATTTGCAGCTACTTACCAGAATGCTCAAGGGAGTCAGGGCGAGAATGATCCAAATAACACTACTGTGGGTAGCTTTTTTTATTTCCTGTCCGTACCAGTGTTAGTGGACATGGCATATGAATCCTTGCGGTTGTCTTGCAGATATTTGTTGGTGCTCTGGATCCCAGTGTATCAGATGATGTTTTGAGATCAGTATTTGGTAAATATGGTGAGTTAGTCCATGTGAAAATTCCTCCTGGGAAGCGTTGTGGATTTGTTCAGTTTGCTAATAGGTAAGTATCATGATTGCTACACCCTTTAACGCCATCTGCTGAATTCCGTGTTCTGATGTTCTGTTATCCTTGTCACTAGATCCTCTGCAGAGCAAGCACTACAGATGTTGAATGGAACTCAGTTAGCCGGACAGAGTATCCGACTATCTTGGGGACGTAGCCCGTCAAACAAGCAGGTTAATAAATGCCTTCATTTCCTGCGTTTTACCTGATTCTGGCATTCCGCTGGTATTAGTTGCAATGATTGCCCTAACATATGAATTAAATATGGCTCAAGTATGTGTCATAAAGAATGTGGGAAGTGAGATGGTTCAATAATAGTATGAGAGCTGAAGTTTTTTATGCATAAATACATATATACGAGCAGTAGACTGGCATTAATTGCATTTTAACTAACCATGGTTACTATCATTGAAATTTCCCAGGCCCAACCAGAGCAGAACCAGTGGAACGGCGGTGGTGGATATTACGGATATGCTCAAGGATATGATGCAGCAGCAGCTTATGGTTATGCAGCCGCTCCACAAGATCCTAGCATGTACTATGGAGGTTATCCTGGCTATGGAAACTACCAGCAGCAGCCAGGAGCTTACCAACAGCCGGGACAGGTTTATCAGCAGCCACAGCAGGTGTAGTAGGCTTTGCTACTTTAGTTTCTTGCTCTGGCTTAGCATTCCTTCGTCTGGACGGTTATAACTCCTCGTATTCTCTTTCGCAGTGATTTCTAAACCACTGTTTGGTTCCATTGCCAAACTCAAGAGCGGAGAGGACCAGCTGGGAGGCTTTGCCGTGGCTATGGATACGAGGTCCTTAAGTTTCACCAACTGACCGTATCTCTTGTGGGTTGGCGTTGGGCTTTCGTGCTGTTGCGTTTTGTCAGAGGTTAGGTTTTTGACAATGATCAGTGTACTGTGCAGATACTGGGTTGTAATGCCGTGATGTTTGTTGAGGTTATGCACTGCCCCTAAAGGATTATTTACTCTGTACTTTGTGGAATTCTGTTCGACTGTATCAATATCTTCCCTGGGATGTCTTCGTGCACGTCGCAAATTGTTATTCGTGATCCCTCTCTCATCTTTTGTCAGATTGACAGAGTAGTGAGCGTTGTGATTGCCAAATCTCTCAAACTACACACAAAGCTGCCGAATGATGATCAGTGTAGATAGTCGAGGAACGATCAATAGTCACTACCATGGAACTGGTATTCTTAAAATCAATGAGGTTGTGCTTGTTAGTAGTGTACTCTATTCGTCGATTTAGTAACCGTTTGTGAGGTTGCAGAGCTACATATATCATATCAAATGGAAACTAAGATGAATGCAACGAAGATTCAAGCAATAAAATTTTCTAACTAGAGAAGCATATCATAAAATAAACGGTGCAGGAGCATCTAACATGAAATGCGCAACACTAGCAACATCAATACACTTGCTAAGCGGAAATGAAAATAATGGGCAAAAGACAGTGCAGGCTTCCTTTCACAAAATTGCCAGCCACAATCTTAACCAGAGTTAACAAAACTGTCTATATGTTATTGGTGCATGGCATCCAACAGCTTCAGTGCCAGAGCTTCTTGCTCCGCTAGGGAAATGGAGTCGTCTATAGCACTTTCTTTCTTTCCTCTAGTTTCGCCATCATCGTCACTATCACTATTGAAGTAGATCTTCGATCTTTTCGGTTTCCTTCCATTTGTTCCTTCATCTGCCCCTGATCCGGAAAGATCCTCATCGCTACCTTCTTCTTCATCCCCAAGTCCTCTCTTCCGCTTCACCTTCTCCTTAATTCGCTTATCTCTCCGACGTTGACGGTCAAGAACCTTGTCTACCTTGTCCACTTTCATCAGCTCTTCCCTCATCTTTTTATAATACTCGTTCCTCTTGTCTGCACGAAGAGAGAAATAAAGGAGTAATGGAGCCACTTTCAGAAAGCACTACAAGCCAGTTGACATTCTGCTACTGGATAAGTTACTATAGATGGATAAGCAGCCATGCGGGCGATTGTCTAGTGAGACGATAAGCCATCACTTAGTTAACGTGGCTTCATTCAAGACTACACACAGTTTGAATAGTTGACGAATAGAATTTACCTTTATCAAGCAAAGACAAATCATCATCATTGTTTGCTCCAGCCACCCTTGCTAGTGGAGGAAGTGTATTCCCTTGCTCATCAAAGACAACCCTCGTTCCAACTGGTCTGTGGATGTTGATCTTCAACTTCTTCTTCTTCTTAGAAATACGGGTTGGAAGCCTACACAACACAACATCCAGAGGCAAGGTAAGACAAAACGTATCACAATAGGCCGGTTGCCAGCCATAACGACTAAGTCCAGAATTAAAATGGAGCAAATATAGCTGCATGGCACTCTAAATACAGGCATACAGCAGATAAAAGGAGACAGGCAATAAGGAGTAAGAATGAAGTACACTGCATCTCCAAATTCCGCTGATTTCTCAATGCCCTCATTTTCGGTCTGCTTAGAAAGAAGAAGATCTTTCTCCACGTCCTCATCCTCAGAGTCATTTAGGCTCAGTAACTCCGCTGGTAAGTCCAAGTTTTCCTCTCTTAACTTGTTGGTTTCTGCCTTTTGTCTCTTTATCTCTGCTGGAGGCTCCCCTCCAGAAGTTTCCAGTTCAAGGACAGAAGATTCTCCAACCGACAGCTGTTTGCCTTTCAGTTTTTTCACAAAACGGATATTAGGCGTGAGAGGCAGACCCATTGAAGCGGCAAATTTATCAATGGGTAATTCCTTCACTTCAAACACATCTTTATCCTTCTGAATGTGTATACACCGCATGTATCTTATGAAGGCCTTTGCAGCCAGCTCCTGCAGTTCAGAATGCTTCACCAACAAAGATGAAAGCAGTCCAGACACTGGTTGTAGCCTTTTCATGTTCGGCTGAAATTTGATAAACCATGAAAGCATGTTCAGTAACATAAAAAAGATCTCTCTATGTTTTTGCGGTTGATCATATTGCAAACAGAATGAGCAAAACTGCCTCGGTCATAAGAAAGAGTCCGTTGACCTTTATAACTTGTATGGGAACTTTGGCTGCTTTCAACTTGTCAATCATTTTCATTTCTGATGGCGTCAAAAACAGAACAGATCTCCCTCCTGACAGGTATCTCGCAGTACGACCAACTCTGTGTATGTAGGATGCAACATCATCTGGACAATCCGCCTGGAAAACAATGTAAAATCTTCTGAGATAGAAAACAAGTGACTAGCAAAAGCACTGTTATTGTCAGGGATTCAAAATCTCGCCCACCTGTACAACCCAGTCAACTGCTTTGTTGAAGTCAAGACCTCTAGCAGCCACATCCGTGCAAAAGAGAACTGACCGCTGTTCACAGAATTGGGAATAAATATTTATCCTTCTCTCCTGCTTCATCCTCCCGTGCAGGCATTTTAGCGGAATTCCAGGCCGCAACTTCTTAAATGCTTCATAAACAAATTTCACCTAAAATCAAGAAAATTATCAACGGCAGGACAAACTTTTCAGGTAATGAAAGAAAAAAAAAATACTCCAATTATATGATGCTTGTCTATAGGTAAAAAAACACAGCAGAATGCACAAAATGTACCTGTTTGCAGGTAGAAAGAAAAACGAGAATTTTGGAGTTGAGATGTGCCTTAACAAAACTCCATAACATATCCAGCTTTTGGTCCAAAGGAACAGTCATAGCTGTCTGCTGCAGACGACTAGGAGTAGCGCTCTCGGCCTTTTCATGAACACTAATGTACTCTGGGTCCTTCAAACTGAGCCTTGCAAGATCCTGAACAGACTTCGTCTGTGTTGCAGAGAAAAGCATTGTTTGTCTATGCTTAGGAAGCTGTGAAACAATTGCGTTCAAAGATTTCTTGAAACCAACATCGAGAATACGGTCTGCCTCGTCCAGGACCAAAATCTGTTTTCCAAACCAAGAGAATTACACTCAAATTAACTATAGATGACATGATCTGTCAACAGGAACACTTATAAAAAAAAAACTAAGCACACAGGAAACCCAAATTCTATACAAAGAGCTGAGGTTGGCAGACAAAAATTGTAACTAAGCAAATGTAATAACCAAAATAGAGAGAATTCACCCGCACTCTTCATCCAACTTCACATAGTAAAACCTAGTGTGAATATTTTATGAGCACACATTGATCATTTGTAAACTCCAGCTACTGCCTAAGGAGCAGAAGAGGGATTTGGAAGCTAACTGCGCATTAAACCTGAAACGAAGCACATCAAAATTTCGTAGAAAATCCACCCATTAACTAAGTGCAATGTACTGACCTGAAGTTGAGAACACTCGAAGTTGGGCGTCTCATCCATGTGCTGAAGAAGCCGGCCAGGGGTACAAACAAGTATGTTCAGCTCATTAACACGCTCCTTCTCCATCTCAACATCCTTCCGGCCACCAATCAACAGTCCAGCACTGAAGTTGTGAAATTTACCAACAGTTTTCAGAACATCAAACAGCTGACCAGCCAATTCCCTAGTTGGGGAGATTATAATGCTCCCCACTCCATCCTCAGGACCCCACCTCTCCTTGTGTAACTTCTCCACTACCTGCGATTAAATTGCCGACAGTAAGCATAAACACAAACCTCCACCACCATTAGCAAAAGCCCGAAAAGGGTCCGGTAAAAACCCATCAAACACGCCGGAATTACTCACAGGGATAACAAAAGCCAAGGTTTTGCCAGACCCAGTTTTGGCAGCACCAAGGACGTCCCTCCCACAGAGCGCATGGGGCAGGGAGGCTCTCTGAATCTCGGTCATCTTCACGTATCCAGCCTTCTTCAGCGCGTCCATCGTCTTCTTCGATAGCGGCAATTCGCTGAACTTCGTCGCCGCGGAATAAGCAGAGAAACTGCCGTCGTGGAGGCGTCCGACCGGTGCATTGTCCGGCAGCGGCTTGAGAGCAAGAGGGTTGGAACCGGAGTCTGGTTTCTGGGACTCAATCCACTCGTTCAATAGGGAGATTTCATCCAGCTCCGCTGACCGCCGCTCCTTTCGATCTGCCTTGGACTTGGACTTAGACTTGGGCTTGTTTCCCATGCCTTTGCTTGTAAGCAAGAAAGGATCTAGCGAGTGGTGAATCTAGGGTGAAACCCAGGAATAGTAGAAAAGGGCAAATTTTAGAGCTTTTTGGCACGCAATTTGTGCAGAGCAGCGGACAGGGGAGGTCGGGGTTTAGGGTTTATGGAAATGGGTTCGCGGCTCTTGTTAATCTTTGTTGGCTAAAGAACGGCTGTCAAAGTGCAAAGGCAGCGATTTGGCTTTTATTTTTGACATCCAATTTTCTTTTTTTTTTCCTGTCTATATTCCCTCCAAATTTTTACAAAACCAGTATTAACATTTTTTAGAAGACTTTGCTAGGAAAAAAGTTGAAGCCAATAATATTTACCAAACAATCATTATAATATTTAGGTAATATAGTATTGACTCGATGTCATAGTCGTGTGAGTCCAGACCGATCGAAGATAGCAGACAATCAGACACGAACATCAAAGGCATGGTCGTTGGATGATGTCTTGTGGTGTAGTAAAAATATTTTTACGTCTGGTTCCAGAAGAAAAATGAGAGACACTTAGATAATTTATTATATTTTATCTGAATATTTTTAGTATATCTCAAGGCAT